ACAAGTGTAAAGCTGTCCAGTCACCTTTCAGTGTCAGAGAAACCTGTAACATCAACAAGTGTAAAGCTGTCCAGTCACCTTTCAGTGTCAGAGAAGTCTGTAACATCAACAAGTGTAAAGCTGTCCAGTCACCTTTCAGTGTCAGAGAAATCTGTAACATCAACAAGTGTAAAGCTGTCCAGTCACCTTTCAGTGTCAGAGAAACCTATAACATCAACAAGTGTAAAGCTGTCCAGTCACCTTTCAGTGTCAGAGAAACCTATAACATCAACAAGTGTGAAGCTGTCCAGTCACCTTTCAGTGTCAGAGAAGTCTATAACATCAACAAGTGTAAAGCTGTCCAGTCACCTTTCAGTAACAGAGAAATCTGTAACATCAACAAGTGTAAAGCTGTCCAGTCACCTTTCAGTGTCAGAGAAATCTGTAACATCAACAAGTGTAAAGCTGTCCAGTCACCTTTTAAGCAGTGTCAGGAGAAACCTGTAACATCAAAAAGTGTGAAGGCTGTCCAAATCTGCACCTTTCAGTATCAGAGAAACCTTAACATCATCAACAAGTGTAAAGCTGTCCCGTCCCCTGTAACAATCAACAAGTGTCAACCTGTCCCCCAGTACCTTTCAGTGTCAGAGAAACCTGTAACATCAACAAGTGTAAAGCTGTCCAGTCACCTTTCAGTGTCAGGAAGTCCTGTAACATCAACAAGTGTAAGCTGTCCAGTCACCTTTCAGTGTCAGAGAAATCTGTAACATCAACAAGTGTAAAGCTGTCCAGTCACCTTTCAGTGTCAGAGAAACCTTAACATCAACAAGTGTAAAGCTGTCCAGTCACTTTCAGTGTCCAGAGAAACCTATAACATCAACAAAGTTGGTAAAGCTGTCCAGTCACCTTTCAGTGTCAGAGAAACCTATAACATCAACAAGTGTGAAGCTGTCCCAGTTCACCTTTCAGTGTCAGAGAACCTAGCTGTCAACAGTCAAGCTTTCAGTGTCCCCCCCCACAGAGTCAGAGAATCTATAACTCAACAAGTGTAAAGCTGTCCAGTCACCTTTCAGTATCAGAGAAATCTGTAACATCAACAAGTGTAAAGCTGTCCAGTCACCTTTCAGTAAGTGTATAAAGCTGTTAAGTTACCTTTCAGTATTCATTCTCAAACTGCCACTGTGGGTTCCAGGACCACATTGCTAGGGGGGGGGGGGGGGGGGGGGGGGGGGGGGGGGGGGGGGGGGGGGGGGGGGGGAGGGTGGGGGGGACTGCCTCTTACCAAGCATGTCACCAAAGGCAATTAATTAGGTATCTTTCCAATGAAGTCAAAGTGCATCTGCCTGAGAAGCAAGGAACCAACAGTCTGCATACAAATAAGCCAGATCTGTTAAAAACAATATCCACACAAAACTGTCCTGTAAAAGCTCTAAATCCAGAAGTGGACGAACAACCAGAATTTTTGGCTTGGGTTTACAGCCAGTAGATACCAAGATGAAGAATTCTCAAACTGGTCAGTACAACTAATCTATCATCATCATCATCAACATCATTTGCCTTGCCAACTGATGTGAGCAATCATGCATCTCCACAACCAGAGACGTCCCTTTATGCCAGGAGAAAAGGTTGTCAAGAATCTTCTTACGCTGTTTTCCTGTTTCTCGCTTCCAACAAATCCTTCCAGTGGTCACAACATGTTCCAGTTTTCCTCTTCTCATAACATAACTGATGTTTGTGATAAGTTCTCTTCAGACCCTCACCTTTTTTTTAGAATATCTGGATTACTCTCTACTGGCTGTCCAAGGAATTTTAAACATTTTTCAGTAAAACAAAATTTATGTGGCACCACATATGTACATACAGTACAACAATCTGCATGGCACCAAGTGTGTATACATACAATACAAAATTCTGCATGGCACCAACTGCATACAAGCAACACAACAAATCTGCATGGCACCAAATGTGCACAGACAATACAACAATCTTCATGGCACCAAATGTGTAGAGAAAATACAACAAATCTATATGGCAATAAATGTGTACAGACAATACAACAATCTTCATGGCACCAAATGTGTACAGACAATACAACAATCTTCATGGCACCAAATGTGTACAGACAATACAACAAATCTATATGGTAACAAATGTGTACAGACAATACAACAAATCTATATGGTAACAAATGTGCACAGACAATACAACAATCTTCATGGCACCAAATGTGTAGAGACAATACAACAAATCTATATGGTAACAAATGTGTAGAGAAAATACAACAAATCTATATGGTAACAAATGTGTACAGACAATACAACAAATCTATATGGTAACAAATGTGTACAGACAATACAACAAATCTATATGGTAACAAATGTGTACAGACAATACAACAATCTTCATGGCACCAAATGTGTAGAGAAAATACAACAAATCTATATGGTAACAAATGTGTACAGACAATACAACAAATCTATATGGTAACAAATGTGTAGAAAAAATACAATCTATATGGTAAACAGAAAAAAATATCAAACCAAATGAGAAATAGAACTGGTTGGCTTCACACAATCACAAATGAACGCTGCAGCCAGAAAGCCTTCATCTGCATATATCATGAATAAACAATGGTACAAATACAAATACACAAAATCACTTATCTGAGGTATCTCTAAGAGATATATGGCACCAATTGCGTAAAAGCAATACAACAATCGACATGGCCCCCAAGTGCCAAACAATGAGAATGCAAGAATCATACAGCTTCTTCTGCTTTTGCTGTAAATTGTCACAAAGAGGAGTTAGATGTAGTTTCCTGTCTTTTACTAGTTGCCTAGCTCGTGTTATTGTCATTCTGTGATTCTGCGGTGTTGCTTTTACTCCCATCACCCGTCTCTTTCTTTGTTAGCCTCTTGCCTTGCAAGCCAATTGTTCTCAGGTAGTATGCTCTAAAAACCAGCTGATACTGTTCCATTCTGATCAGACGACAAAACCATTTGATTCTCTGATGTTCTATGAAATCAGATACTGCTAGTGTGCCTATCATTGTATGTAGTTCTTTGTTGGTGACTGTCTCTTCTTGTGCCCCCCCCCCCCCCCCCCCCCCCCCCCCGTACATCTTACGTATTATGTTGCAATTTTGTGTTCATGTTTTTCATAAAGCAACAATCCAACAAAACTCACATGGCAACAATCAAAGTGTTAAAGATAAGTTAAAAAAATATAATAATAACAACAATAATAAAGGATCTTTGTGCACACCTTGAAGTGTGTTCGGTCTAAGGTGCTAGCAGGCAGCTGAAGAGTGCTAGGTCAACTTTACTTCCCTTAATATTTTCTGGTAGTCAGTTTAGGCTTGCTTGGGAGCTCATGTCCATTTTTTATTTTAAATCACATGTGGGAATTTGAAAGCATAATCACCGGGTCGGCAGGGAACAAGCATATAAGAACAAAGCAAAAATCATGTAGCAATAAGCAATTAAAAAAATTAATACAATTACATATTTATAACACAATCTTCCTTGGAAGTCTGCCTCTGCCAGATCTGTAAAACAGTGTGCATACAAAACTCAAAAGGAACCACAAGTTTGCACATAAGTTAGCCAGATCTGTAAAACAGTGTGCATACAAAACTCAAAAGGAACCAAAAGTCTGCACATAAGTTAGCCAGATCTGTAAAACAGTGTACATGCAAAACTCAAGAGGAACCAAGTTTCCACATAAGTTAGCTAGATCTGTAAAACAGTGTGCATACACAAGTCAAGAGGAACCAATAGTCTGCACATAAGTTAGCCAGATCTGTAAAACAGTGTGCACATAAAACTCAACAGGAACCAATAGTCTGCACACGCTAGCCAGATCTACAAAACAGTGTGCATAGAAAACTCAAGAGGTACCAATAGTCTGCACACAAATTAGCCAGATCTGTGAAACAGTATGCAAGCAAAACCCAAGTTCTGGGATGAAACTCAAGTCCAGAAATGGATGAACAACCGGAACCTTCCATCGGAGTTTACAGCTGGTGAATGTGAAAAAGAAAAATAAGATAACACAATCATTAATTGTTATAATAGCAAAAGAAACAGGCACCCAAGGAATCAGTAAAAAATCAAGAGACATGTTCCCCGTGTGGGTTCCACAGTCCCACTGGAGAGACCACAAGAGTAGACCCATGCCTCCCCAACAAGCACGTTGTAAGAGTTAACGAATTAAGGGCTTTCTTCGAAGTCAGAGTGCATCGGCCTGAGAGGCAAGGAACAAACAATCTGCATACAGATCGACCAGATCTGTAAAACAGATCTGCACATGGTACTCAGGTTCTGGAAGAAGACTGGTGTGTACAGGTGGGCAAATAACCATAATTTTGTGCTGCAGTTTACAGCTGGGGACCGTGAAGAAGAAGAGACATGCCCTCTCAGAGTAACAAAAAAACAAAAACCACAGCCTGCACACCCGACAGTCACTACTTGGACAAGCAGCCTTATATGAATCAGTCTAGCAGGGGTGGGAAGAGGAAAGGTAAAGGACAGGTGTCAGTTGCTTCCTAACAATCACTCTGCAATTTTGATATTATCATCATCTCCATGTAGCAGTCCTTTGCAGTGTGTCACTCTTATCTCAGTCTGCCTGAAAGAAACTTGTCTTTCGCCACCTCCCCAGTCTCATGCACTTTCCTACCAAAGGTGTCACTTATATCCTGTGCCAAACCTCAGCCTTTGCCCCTCTTTTCTGATACCAAGCCTTTTGCTATTATTTTTTTTCAAATCCACCAGTGCGCTTGATATGGCCAAAACATTTCAAATCATGAGACAAGATGCTATTCACTAGCCAACCTTCCTTGATCTTCAGATCTTTCAGGATGTTAGTATTTCTTCTCTTCTTTGTCCATGATATTCTGAGAATCTTTATATAGAATTTTAGCTCCAAAACCCGCTACTCTGATATACTTAGTCGAATCTCTTCTATCTTGGGGTGTTAAGGTTTGCCAGAAAGTTCGTCAGATGTCTCTATCGGCAGTTTTAGGACTGCTTTGATATCAGGACATTAAACTTATTAACGAGATCCACAAATGCTGGACGCTTATTTGGCTCCATCACCCAACATTCATTCATGACACTGTACGCTTCTTTACTAACAATCTTCTCCCCTGGAAGTCGCCATTTGCTTTTGTATTTGTTTAGTAGATTCTCAGCTGTGATTGTTTTTGGTAGAACATCCCACGGGGTAATTCCTTTAGAGAAAGACTCCCACATAACGATACCAAAGGACCAGACATCTCCTCTGCTGGAAAACCTGTTCTCTGGGTCTGATGGGTCCCACTCCAAACATTCCGGAGGCATCCTGTTGGAGAAATTACCACACACACACAAAAAAAAACTGTTAGAGTGAAAAATAATCAGAAATGTAATCATTGGGAGAATGATACTTAATCCTCTCTCCTCTCACACCCTTCAGAAATAAATAAAAATAAATAAAAAAATAGTTAGGTCATTATTGTTTAAAAAATTTTTTTTTTTATTAATACACATTGTGGGACCAGCCGTGGTGTAGTGGCTAGCCATACACAGATCCAAAAGCCTTAGCTTCAGGTCGTGAAGGAGCCTGATTTTTTTTAAACGATCTTGGCTTTCAGCATTAAATGGGTACCAAGTAAAGGCCTGGGAAGTAAAGGTGGCCAGCGTGATGTTGACCACATCACCCACTGAGTGCCAACTTGTCTATAAAATATACATCAAGCCCTATATGCCCAATACAGATGAGGGTGTGCAAAAGGGCCCTTTACTTCTTCTTAATTATTTGTCAAATTAAAACACACAAAAAACCTAAGGGGAATCATCATCATCATGTAGCAGGTATATATATTTCTGCGGACTTCAACCAGAATATGATTTAACTTAATCGGCCAGATTTTCAGTGATGAACTGATTATTATCATCATGTAGCAGGTCCTTTGCAGAACGCCGCTCTCATCACCATCTGCCTGAAAGAAACTCGGTCTTTCGCCAGTTCTCCCGCCTCATGCACTTTCACACTCAAGGAGTCACTTATATCCTGTGCCCATCTTCGTGTCGGTCAGCCCCTGCCCCTCCTTCCTGGTACCATGCCTTCTGCTATGATTTTTTTCCAATCCGTCGTGGTGTTTGATAACCAAAGTATTTCAGCTTTCGAGTTTCGAGTTTATTAGCCAATCTTTCTTGATGTTCAGATCTTTTAAGATGTCAATATTTCTGATCTTCTTTGACCAAGATATTCTGAGAATCTTTCTATAACATTTCAGCTCAAAAGCCCCTATTCTCTTTCTTAAGGACTGAGAAATAGTCCCTGACACACATCCGTATGTAGCCACAGGGAAGATGCATGCTCTCAAAATTCTAATTTTGATCTCCTTGCTGGTGCTCAACTCTTTGAGTCCCAGAGGGTTTAGCAACACAGGCCCAAGGGGTAGTCAAGAGAGACGTAAAATTGGCGCATTATTGGGCTTCTAGGCAGTAACCTATGAACGTATCATGCTAATAATCGTGTGACTCAACCATGACCCAGATATATTAAAAAAAGTAATAAGTAAAGGACCCTTTTCCACGCCTGTGAGGTGTATTGGGCATATAGGGCTAGACCTATATTTTACAGACCAAACGGCACTTGGTGGGTGATGTGGTCAGCATTACACTGGCCACCTTTACTTCCCAGGACTGGACCTGGTACCCACTCAAGGCTGGGTCTACCTGGGAGCCTAGGTCATTTTGGAGAAAAAAAAAGTCTGGCCCCATTTAGAAACTGAACCCACGACCTTCCGATCTGCAGACAAGCTTCTAGCTGCCAGATCATGGTTGCTCCCCAGATATTAAAAGCTAAAGGGAAATTACGATATGACAATTTGAAAAAAAAAAAAACTATTTATTTTACACAATTAAGCCCCTTCCACCCAAATCTTTTCCCAAATTATCAGCTATTATGAGTAAACAGAATTATAGCCAGCTCTCCTAAACACTGTGCAGGTGCCAACATAACCAATGCCATAATTTAGGCTTAACAGAGATTGACTGCTGCAGTTTATTCGCATCAAGGGGGTTTAGGGTTAAAAAATCAGGTTCCTCTCCCGATGAGAATAAAATAAATTACTCCGGAATCCAAGTCCAATGACAACAGAAAAATCCTCTAAACCGAACTCCAGCTCTAGGTGATTTAAAGAAAAAAAAAAGATTGCCCTCAGTTAAACTCATAGTCTGATGTTTAAAAAAAAATTACTCTAAATTATACTCCCAGTCTGACGATCACAAAATATAATACTCCAAATGAGACCCCCAGTCCAATGGTGTTATGTTTAGAACAGATCCTTTCATCTGTGGCACGTGACCAGGTTGGTAATTCTAAGTTTGTCCGGCAGACACACACACACACAATTGCCCTTCCGCCCATTTTAAGGAATGTTCATCTTGAATTTAACCACTGCTTCCACAGCATTAGCACGGCACAGAAGCAGCAGTCACTCACACATGCAGTACTCACACATGGAGTACTCACACATGCAGTACTCACACATGTAGTACTCACACATGCAGTACTCACACATGCAGTACTCACACATGCAGTACTCACACATGCAGTACTCACACATGTAGTACTCACACATGTAGTACTCACACATGCGACAGTCACACATGCAGTACTCACACATGTAGTACTTACACATGCAGCAGTCACACATGCAGTACTCACACATGTAGTACTCACACATGTAGTACTCACACATGTAGTACTCACACATGTAGTACTCACACATGCAACAGTCACACATGCAGTACTCACACATGTAGTACTCACACATGTAGTACTCACACATGTAGTACTCACACATGCAACAGTCACACATGCAGTACTCACACATGTAGTACTTACACATGCAGCAGTCACACATGCAGTACTCACACATGTAGTACTCACACATGTAGTACTCACACATGTAGTACTCACACATGCAACAGTCACACATGTAGTACTCACACATGTAGTACTTACACATGCAGCAGTCACACATGCAGTACTCACACATGTAGTACTCACACATATAGTACTCACACATGCAGTACTCACACATGTAGTACTCACACATGGCACATGCAGCAGTCACACATGCAGTACTCACACATGCAGTACTTACTCATGCAGTACTCACACATGCAGTATTTACACTTGCAGTACTCACACATGCAGTATTTACACTTGCAGTACTCACACATGCAGCATTTACACTTGCAGTACTCACACATGCAGTACTCACACATGCAGTAATCACACATGCAGTACTCACAGATGCAGTATTTACACTTGCAGTACTCACACATGCAGTATTGGCACTTGCAGTACTTACACATGCAGTACTCACACATGCAGTATTTACACATGCAGTACTTACACATGCAGTACTTACACATGCAGTACTCACACATGCAGTACTCACACATGCAGTACTCACACATGCAGTACTCACACATGCAGTACTCACACATGCAGTACTCACACCATAAACATGCAGAAAATCACAACAGGTATTATTCTTTTTGAAAGGGTATTACATTTTGAAGGGAATTAAAGAGAATGCAGGAGTAAGAGTTTGAGGATACAATATAAACAATTTGCGTTATGCAGACGATACAGTTTTGATAGCTGAAAATGCAGCTGATTTACAACAACTGCTGGATATTGTGTGGATGGAGAGTGCTAAGAAAAAAAAAGACTTTCCTTGAATATTAAGAAAACGGAAGTGATGGTTATATGAAAGAAGATAACTCCACATTGTGATATCTCAATAAAGGAAAAAGACTTAACCAAGTCAATAAATTAAAATATCTAGGAACAATCATATCAGCAGATGGAAAATGTATGAAATAAATTAAAAGCAGAATAGGTCTAGTGAAAGCTGAATTTTAGAAAATGAAAAATATCTTATGCAATAAATCGTTCTCATTTAATGTCAGAAAGAGAGTGCTTAAATGTTATATAGAACCTGTTCTGCTGTATGGCAGCGAATCTTTTAATGTCAGTGAACAAATTAGGAAGAATCTGGAAGCAACAGAAATGTGGTTTATGAGAGGAATGTTATGAATACCTTGGACGGCCAGAGTAACAAACAACAATTGCTTGAAAAAAGCTAATGAAAGTAGATTTCTTTAGACAACAATAAGAAAGAGACAAACAATGTTCTTTGGCCACATAATAAGAAGAGAGACATTGGAGAACATCGTGACAACTGGAAAGATCATTGGGAAAAGGGGTAGAGGCAGACCAAGAGAGATGATGCTGGATGGGCTGAAACGATGGCATGGAGGCATATCATCAAGAGAGCTGTTCGTGACAACCAGGGATCGTGATCTGTGGAGAAGCATGAGCGCCTACGCCAGTTTGCAGGGCACACAATGATGATGATGAGAAAGTCTTAGGAAATCACACTTAACCTCCTTCCCCTGTATCAGCACACCTTGGCATGCCGGTCTAAAAGGTAAAGAATGAGCAGACAAACTGGCAAGCAATGCACCAATACATGCGGGAATAAGTAAGAACAGAGCAGATATCATCAACGCTCTACAGACTAGGCTAGTGGATAACGACATGTCTCTTGACAATTAAAACAACTGCATGACCTAGGAATAAAGCCTGGTAAAGCACATTGATGCTGCCCTTGAGGTTGAGGAAGGAGATAATATAATCTACTCCTTATGAAAAAAAAATAAGTACAGGGACAAGAAGGGAGAGAGTTATGAATACTAGAGTAAGAGAGAAAGTTGGAATAAGACAGCGTCTTAATTATATTGACAAAGTATGAAATGGTTCAGCTATCTGGTGATAATGCAGCCAGACCCAACTTCATATTTTACAGCAGAATATCTGGAAGGAAGGTCAGGAGAAAACCAAGGAGGAGATGGATAAAAGATGTAGCTGAAACCTGCAGAAAGATGAACAAACGCGGCACCCAAGCCACCAGAGAAGCACAAGACAAATACATAAAACCATAACAGGGCCCTGAAACCCACAAGATCCATTCAGCGTTGATTGGTCTACACAAATATGAGTCTACCAGCATAAATGAACCCATGTGGGTTCTGAGGCCCCAATGTGGGGGAAAACAAGAATGGACCCACTGTCTACCCAGAAGCATGTCATAACAGTTGACTAACTGGGAGCTTCATTCATGTCATAACAGTTGACTAAATGGGAGCTTCATTCATGTCATAACAGTTGACTAACTGGGAGCTTCATTCATGTCATAACAGTTGACTAACTGGGAGCTTCATTCATGTCATAACAGTTGACTAACTGGGAGCTTCATTCATGTCATAACAGTTGACTAACTGGGAGCTTTTTTCAAAGTCAGAGTACATCTGCCTGACTAACAGTCTCTGAACACATTAAGCCAGATATGTAATTCGGTTGTGACCACAACACTCAGGCTCTGGAACCGGACTAGATTCCAGAAGTGGACGAACAACTAGAGCTTTCTGCCAGAGTTTACAGCTGGTGAACGCTAAGAAAAAGCTAAGAAAATATGCAATGAAAAGGGCCTATAACTTCAATAAGATTTTTGGAGCAGGAGGCAGCAGCAGAAGAAGAAGGAGGAGGAGGAGGAGAAAAAGAAGAAGAAGAAGAAGAAGAAGAAGAAGAAGAAGAAGAAGAAAAAGAAGAAGAAGGAGGAGGAGGAGAGGAGGAGAGGCTGTTATGATGATTCTAAACTCTTATAAAGTATATTTCACAAACTTACCAAACAAAGGGCAGTTCATCCTCCTGGTTTAATCTATAAAATCTGTAATTCCCGTCCAGCATTCTTGCCAGTCCAAAATCAGAAACCTTTGCTCTGATCTCGCCACCGGCATCAGTCAGTAACACATTACGTGCTGCAAGGTCTCTGTGGACAATCTCTTTTCCTGACAGATACCTCATTCCCTGCACAAATGGAAAACATCGATGACTTCATGAATATCACAGATTTTATACAAGGATCCTTTCATACAGTATGACCTCACAAACATAGTTACCCTTTTTTCCCTGTCTGCGTTCTGGGATCCCACTGTTGCAGGGGGGGGGGGGGGGGAGGGGCAGAATAGATCCAATGTCAAGGTCTTGAAAGTCTACTAATTAGGGGTTTTTCTTCGAGGTCGGAGTGCATCTGCCAGAGAGGTGAGGAACCACAGTCTGCATACAAATAAGCCAGATCTGTAATATGGATGTATAGGGTAAACTAGTTATCTTAGTTTCAGCTTCATAGCAAACAGGTCACCCAATAGTTGCTCCGCTCCTGTTGGAATGAAAACACACAGAATGTCTATCACTGTCCCTCGTGGAAAAACTGACACAAATTGCAGTCTCAGCATATTCACTAGTATACACATGCACTAAAAGCATAAGGCAGCCATCAGAAGTGCTAACACAAATAGTCTGACATTAGAAATGCAGTTCACCATCTACGAATTCAGCAGTCACAGACACATCAGTAGTTGCACACATGATTAATTTTAATCACATAAGGTGCCTGGCTCGCCAGCTCAGTTTTTTTTTTTAAATATCCAGAAACCATAAGTTGTTAACCCTTTGGCTCAGTACTATGGATATCACAACCCTTCGGCCTTGATTCCATGATAGATACCGTAAATCTGGAAGAAATGTAGCTTTTCTGCCTAGCCCCGGGCGTGAACCCAGACCACAAGTTGGTTAACCTGACTGCGCTGCGCGGCGACCGGGTGACGAACTCCCTACATAATACCCTAATATTCAAAAAGGCAGTAGTGAATGCACATCTCTGCTGCAGCCAAACTTCAATGTGTAGCAAGCACAATATACAATCTCCTTCCCGTTACCTTATCAAAGTGTGAAGGGCGATCTTCAGTTTTCTCTTCTCAGTGTGTTGTATAAGGTCTTCATTTCTTTAAGGTCGTTCTTGATGTCATCGTTCCATCTTCTGTTTTCTCTTTCCAATGTGCTGTATAAGTTGGTCTTCATTTCTTCAAGGACTTTCTTGATGTCATCGTTCCATCTTCTGTTTTATCTTTCCAATGTGTTGTATAAGTTGGTCTTCATTTCTTTAAGGTCGTTCTTGACGTCATCGTTACATCTTCTGTTTTATCTTTCCAATGTGTTGTATAAGTTGGTCTTCATTTCTTTAAGGTCGTTCTTGACGTCATCGTTACATCTTCTGTTTTATCTTTCCAATGTGCTGTATAAGTTGGTCTTCATTTCTTCAAGGTCTTTCTTGATGTCATCGTTCCATCTTCTGTTTTCTCTTTCCAATGTGCTGTATAATTGGTCTTCATTTCTTTAAGGTCGTTCTTGATGTCATCGTTCCATCTTCTGTTTTCTCTTTCCAATGTGCTGTATAAGTTAGTCTTCATTTCTTTAAGGTCTTTCTTGATGTCATCGTTCCATCTTCTGTTTTCTCTTTCCAATGTGTTGTATAAGGTCTTCATTTCTTTAAGGTCGTTCTTGATGTCATCGTTCCATCTTCTGTTTTCTCTTTCCAATGTGTTGTATAAGGTCTTCATTTCTTTAAGGTTGTTCTTGATGTCATCGTTCCATCTTCTGTTTTCTCTTTCCAATGTGTTGTATAAGTTGGTCTTTATTTCTTTAAGGTTGTTCTTGACGTCATCGTTACATCTTCTGTTTTATCTTTCCAATGTGCTGTATAAGTTGGTCTTCATTTCTTCAAGGTCTTTCTTGATGTCATCGTTCCATCTTCTGTTTTCTCTTTCCAATGTGCTGTATAATTGGTCTTCATTTCTTTAAGGTCGTTCTTGATGTCATCGTTCCATCTTCTGTTTTCTCTTTCCAATGTGCTGTGTAATTGGTCTTCATTTCTTTGAGGTCGTTCTTGATGTCATCGTTCCATATTCTGTTTTTTTTCTTTCCAATGTGTTGTATAAGGTCTTCATTTCTTTAAGGTCGTTCTTGACGTCATCGTTACATCTTCTGTTTTATCTTCCCAATGTGCTGTATAAGTTGGTCTTCATTTCTTCAAGGTCTTTCTTGATGTCATCGTTCCATCTTCTGTTTTCTCTTTCCAATGTGCTGTATAATTGGTCTTCATTTCTTTAAGGTCGTTTTTGATGTCATCGTTCCATCTTCTGTTTTCTCTTTCCAATGTGCTGTATAATTGGTCTTCATTTCTTTGAGGTCGTTCTTGATGTCATTGTTCCATCTTCTGTTTTCTCTTTCCAATGTGTTGTATAAGGTCTTCATTTCTTTAAGGTCGTTCTTGATGTCATCGTTCCATCTTCTGTTTTCTCTTTCCAATGTGCTTTATAATTGGTCTTCATTTCTTTAAGGTCGTTCTTGATGTCATTGTTCCATCTTCTGTTTTCTCTTTCCAATGTGTTGTATAAGGTCTTCATTTCTTTAAGGTCGTTCTTGATGTCATCGTTCCATCTTCTGTTTTCTCTTTCCAATGTGTTGTATAAGGTCTTCATTTCTTTAAGGTCGTTCTTGATGTCATCGTTCCATCTTCTGTTTTCTCTTTCCGATGTGCTGTATAATTGGTCTTCATTTCTTTAAGGTCGTTCTTGATGTCATCGTTCCATCTTCTGTTTTCTCTTTCCAATGTGTTGTATAAGTTGGTCTTCATTTCTTCAAGTTCTTTCTTGATGTCATCATAACCTATGAGTTCTCTGGACAAACAACAGATCAGCAGACTTCTCTCTCTCTCACACACACACACATGCATACACACACTCTCTCTTGCTTCAATACCTGGCTTCACCCACGACAGATTCACTTCACCCAGAGTAGATTCACTTCATCCAGGATAGATTCACTTCACCCAGGATAGATTCAAACTCTTTATTTATTCATAATAATTAACTTTAATCACCCTGTTTATTATAAATTTATTTTAATACTTGGCTATATGCAAGGTATATTCAATATTGTTAGTCTCTTGTCAATCATCTGCGGTGGTGAACAATGCTTAGGGATCTGCCGCCCTTGACAATCCCACATACAGTTATTCATGTGAGAGGCACTTGTCACTCAAATCCAAGACTGTGACTTTGAATGATTGCAGGTGTGCCTAATTGTGACTCAAATTCAAGTCAAACAGGAAATTGCAATCGTTAGAACTAAAATTACAAGTCAGTCCTTATAAGTGGAATCCTTGGAATTAGAATGCCGTTGGCCTAAAATGGCCTAGTTTAAATGGTTGCGTCAATGGGTCCAAAATGGAATGGGTAGCCACCGGACATCAAACTGTCAACACTTATCTAAAAAAAACCAAAAAAAGGAAGAGGACACTGGGACTGACCTAGAAATGGCAGCCAGAATGACATGTGCAAATGTCACATCCCCACAAATGTCACATCCCCCACTGTTCACAATTTAGGAGTTATTGTGACAGACATGTGTTGTTTTCTATTTTATAGTGTATGTTTGTGTGTGTGTTTTACACACACACATACACACATACATACATATAAAAACATCACTAATGCCAAATACATTAAACATGATATACCTTCACAACATCATACAAAATCTTCAGCATGTGGAGAACTTTTTCTGCACTTGACAGCTCTCCATATTCATGTGCATACTTCGACAGGTTTCCTAAGTTCATGAATTCCATGACCATCATCAATGGATCATAATCTGTAGTTAGAAAAATCAGCAACTTAAGCAGGAAAAAACCCAAACTAATTTCAAAAGAAATAAACTCATTTAGTTGGATAATAAAGAATAAATAACATCTACTGATGACAACAATTAAGAAATATAATGAACACAGAGCAAGGGAAAGACCATGCAAGAGATGGAGCGACATCATCAGGAGCAACCTAAAAGAAATAGCACCAACTTGTACAATGCATTGGAAAAGCGCACAAATGATCCTTATATTTCTCCCTTGTACCTTGCTGAGGTAAATGGTGGAAGAGAAGAAGAAGAAGAAGATAGATTACAAACAGTCTGGCAGTGAAAAGTATTACAAAGATAAATATTTTCATTAGAAATAAAAGTGTGGTACATTAACTCTTGTAGTCCCAGAGACAAATAATTTTAAATTCTTTTATTCCTCAACTTTTCAGTAACAAACATTTGCCATCATGTTTCAAAAAGGAATGTCTTTGGTTGACTGCTCATTTCTTTTTACTAGTTATCAGAATTGACATCCTAGCAAGTCGGTCTGGTCTTTCTATTCCACACCCTCCGGTAGGGCATCCATCTCAGCATCTCCATGCTTAATGTACCCAGCAGAAGTTGACAGGCTTATCTTTAGTTGACAGGTGTATCTTTAGTTGATAGGCGTATCTTTAGCTGACAGGTGTATCTTTAGTTGACAGGTGTATCTTTAGTTGACAGGTGTATCTTTAGCTGACAGGCGTATCTTTAGTTGACAGGTGTATCTTTAGTTGACATGTGTATCTTTAGTTGACATGTGTATCTTTAGTTGACAGGTGTATCTTTAGTTGACAGGTGTATCTTTAGCTGACAGGCGTATCTTTAGCTGACAGGCGTATCTTTAGTTGACATGTGTATCTTTAGTTGACAGGTGTATCTTTAGTTGACAGGTGTATCTTTAGTTGACAGGTGTATCTTTAGCTGACAGGTGTATCTTTAGTTGACATGTGTATCTTTAGCTGACAGGTGTATCTTTAGCTGACATGTGTATCTTTAGTTGACAGGCGTATCTTTAGCTGACAGGTGTATCTTTAGCTGACAGGTGTATCTTTAGCTGACAGGTGTATCTTTAGCTGACAGGTGTATATTTAGTTGACATGTGTAGTTTTAGTTGACAGGTTTATCTTTAGTTGACAGGTGTATCTTTAGTTGACAGGTGTATCTTTAGTTGACAGGTGTATCTTTAGTTGACAGGTGTATCTTTAGTTGACAGGTGTATCTTTAGTTGACAGGTGTATCTTTAGTTGACAGGCTTATTTTTAGTTGACAGGTGTATCTTTAGTTGACAGGTGTATCTTTAGTTGACATGTGTATCTTTAGCTGACAGGCTTATCCTTAGTTGACATGTGTATCTTTAGTTGACAGGTGTATCTTTAGCTGACAGGCTTATCTTTAGTTGACATGTGTATCTTTAGTTGACAAGTGTATCTTTAGCTGACAGGCTTATCTTTAGTTGACAAGTGTATCTTTAGCTGACAGGCGTATCTTTAGTTGACAGGTGTATCTTTAGTTGACATGTGTATCTTTAGTTGACAGGTGTATCTTTAGTTGACATGTGTATCTTTAGTTGACAGGTGTATCTTTAGTTGACAGGTGTATCTTTAGCTGACAGGCGTATCTTTAGCTGACAGGCGTATCTTTAGTTGACAGGTGTATCTTTAGTTGACAGGTGTATCTTTAGTTGACAGGTGTATCTTTAGTTGACAGGTGTATCTTTAGCTGACAGGTGTATCTTTAGTTGACATGTGTATCTTTAGCTGACAGGTGTATCTTTAGCTGACATGTGTATCTTTAGTTGACAGGCGTATCTTTAGCTGACAGGTGTATCTTTAGCTGACAGGTGTATCTTTAGTTGACAGGTGTATCTTTAGCTGACAGGTGTATCTTTAGTTGACATGTGTATCTTTAGTTGACAGGTGTATCTTTAGTTGACAGGTGTATCTTTAGTTGACAGGTGTATCTTTAGTTGACAGGTGTATCTTTAGTTGACAGGCTTATTTTTAGTTGACAGGTGTATCTTTAGTTGACAGGTGTATCTTTAGTTGACAGGTGTATCTTTAGTTGACAGGCTTATTTTTTAGTTGACAGGTGTATCTTTAGTTGACAGGTGTATCTTTAGTTGACATGTGTATCTTTAGCTGACAGGCTTATCCTTAGTTGACATGTGTATCTTTAGTTGACAGGTGTATCTTTAGCTGACAGGCTTATCTTTAGTTGACATGTGTATCTTTAGTTGACAAGTGTATCTTTAGCTGACAGGCTTATCTTTAGTTGACAGGTGTATCTTTAGTTGACAGGCTTATCTTTAGTTGACATGTGTATCTTTAGTTGACAGGTGTATCTTTAGCTGACAGGCTTATCTTTAGTTGACATGTGTATCTTTAGTTGACAAGTGTATCTTTGGCTGACAGGCTTGTCTTTAGTTGACAGGTGTATCTTTAGTTGACAGGCGTATCTTTAGCTGACAGGCTTATCTTTAGCTGACAGGCTTATCTTTAGTTGACAGGTGTATCTTTAGTTGACATGTGTATCTTTAGTTGACAGGCGTATCTTTGGTTGACAGGTGTATCTTTGGTTGACAGGTGTATCTTTAGCTGACAGGCTTATCTTTAGTTGACAGGTGTATCTTTAGCTGACAAGTGTATCTTTAGTTGACAGGCGTATCTTTAGTTGACAGGCGTATCTTTAGTTGACAGGCGTATCTTTAGTTGACAGGTGTATCTTTAGTTGACAGGTGTATCTTTAGTTGACAGGCGTATCTTTAGTTGACAGGCTTATCTTTAGTTGACAGGCGTATCTTTAGCTGACAGGCTTATCTTTAGCTGACAGGCTTATCTTTAGTTGACAGGCGTATCTTTAGCTGACAGGCTTATCTTTAGCTGACAGGCTTATCTTTAGTTGACAGGTGTATCTTTAGTTGACAGGTGTATCTTTAGTTGACATGTGTATCTTTAGTGTACAGGCGTATCTTTAGCTGACAGGCGTATCTTTAGCTGACTTGCTTTTCTTTAGTTGACAGGTGTATCTTTAGCTGACAGGTGTATCTTTAGTTGACAGGTGTATCTTTAGCTGACATGTGTATCTTTAGTTGACAGGCGTATCTTTAGCTGACTGGCTTTTCTTTAGCTGACAGGCTTGTCTTTAGTTGACAGGCTTGTCTTTAGTTGACAGGTGTATCTTTAGTTGACAGGTGTATCTTAAGTTGACAGGTGTATCTGTAGCTGACAGGTGTATCTTTGGTTGACAGGCTTTTCTTTAGTTGACAGGCATATCTTTAGTTGACAGGTGTATCTGTAGCTGACAGGTGTATCTTTAGTTGACAGGTGTATCTTTAGTTGACAGGCGTATCTTTAGTTGACAGGTGTATCTTTAGTTGACAGGCGTATCATTAGTTGACAGGTGTATCTTTAGCTGACAGGTGTATCTTTAGTTGACAGGTGTATCTGTAGCTGACAGGTGTATCTTTAGCTGACAGGCGTATCTTTAGTTGACAGGCGTATTATTAGTTGACAGGTGTATCTTTAGCTGACAGGTGTATCTTTAGTTGACAGGTGTATCTTTAGTTGAAAGGTGTATCTTTAGTTGTCAGGCGTATCTTTAGTTGTCAGGCGTATCTTTAGTTGACAGGTGTATCTTTAGTTGACAGGCGCCTCTTTAGTTGACAGGTGTATCTTTCGTTGACAGGTGTATCTTTAGCTAACAGATGTATCTTTTGTGACAGGTTTATCTTTAGTTGACAGGCGTATCTTTAGCTGTCAGGTGTATCTTTAGCTAACAGGCGTATTGTCTTTCTCTGCCCTGCAATCAGTTTCTGCATGGATGTCCAGGTTTAATACTCATTTCTGTCAGGAAGTTCATCATATTTTGCTCCTCTGTCTTAAGGTCTCTGGAATGGTCATCTGCCCTGCTTAAACTTCTTTCCCCACAAACTAATGCAGTTACAGGCAGTCAGTCAGCTCTTTCATTGTTTTTTTTTTTTCACCCTGGTGTGCACTGACAAGACAGTTTTACTTTTAAAGCAAGATTTCTAGATGCTGACAACCCATTCTAGTCAGAAACTGCAAATCTGGATCTTTTTATGCATGCTCCTTCAGTATGTTACTATCAATGTGAGAACTGCTTTCTATTCCACCAGACACACAACTGCACCTTGATCCCCATTGTCATGCTAGAAGTATGAGGAGAGTTAAGAAATTAATGCATTCCACTGTTTTTTTTTACAGGAGCTGTTTATTAAACAAAAGTATGAATTTTATGGTTGCAGATTCAGTCATCCCTTGGTTCCCGCAAATGTCTAACTTCTCATACAGCATTCAGAATATCAACCTGGTCCACGGCCCTCCACAGTAGCTTTACTTGCAAGCTTGCTCATTTCCTAGCATGCCTGCGTATCCTGACACAAATATGAAACTCATTATGTGTCAGCCCCGACCACCTTAAAAACTCCATCCACTGTCTTAAGACCCTGCCCATCTCTATATTCCTCAGCATGCTCATTGACAGAGCAATCAACAAATGAACAGTGAGATCCATAGTATTAAAGGAGTTAATCACTGTTAAACCAGAACCGTTACTCACCTTTATGGGAAATATCTTTAGAAAGATAGAGCAGTTTTACAACATTTGGATCATCCAGTTTACAAGCCACCTTAATCTCCTTATACACCATTCTACGATCATCTTGCGGTTTGGAGAGTCTTTTAATCCTCTTCACAGCAACAGGAGTCCAGTGAACTGAATTTTCTTCTGTCACCTTTTTACTTTTGCCATTTGCATTTTGGGAGCATTTTTCTGGAGGGCGCATAAGGCCTCTGTAAACATCTCCAAAATGGCCCTGTAAAGTAAAGCATGTAGTTTACCAAAACACATGGTTTCTAAGTAATTAAAAGGTTTACAGTTGAGTGGACTGACTTCATTGCACTGGGATTTATCTCATGTGACTTTGTCTATCTCTCTTTGCAGTATGAACTCCACAACTCCAGCAACAATCTCAAGGGATTTTTGTAAACTACACTGGCTGGTGAATCAAAAACAGGTCAGCAAAAGGAACCCATGAGACCTCAAAGAGTGGGACAAAACAGTTCAACCTCTTGATGAAGAAGATCTCAGGTCAGAAAAATAATAAAACTGGTAAGATCCACTTTTCTTTTTAGGGTCGTGTGTAGTGTTTTATATCACTGTGTTTTATATCACTGTGTTTTATATCACTGTGTTTTATATCACTGTGTTTTATATCACTGTGTTTTATATCAGTTTTAAAAAAACCCATTGCAAATTTCACTGATTGTTATGGATCAACAGCCCATGTGTTCGTGTGGTTGTATGCGTACATTATTACAGTCTATGGTGACAAACTTTAACTCTTAACCCAAGTGAAAATACAAATTACCGGACACAAGGTGTTGATGGCTTACGGGACCCTGAGGTGATGGAACTTTGAAAGAACACAAACTATTCATGGACGGAGAACTGACCTCCGGGAAGGAAAAATCCTGGGGAGCTGAGACAGACAGCTGTTCAAAAGTGACAAGATTTCCTACTGAATAGCATTTTTAATGTATTGATGTTAGTTAGCTACTGGGACAGAGAGGAATTCCTAGGGATGGTAGCTTTACAATATTCATTATTTGTAGTTATACAGTTGCCTAGTGAACATTATGATTGTTATAAGTAAGGATGTCTTGTAGTAAATACTTAGTTAATTCGGTCTTGTAGTAAATACTTAGTTAATTCGAGAAAGCTGTTTTCACTGTGATGTAAGTGTAGCCAACATACTTGGGTAATGTTGCCTTGTTTGCATCTTATTGTAATTTGTGGTCTCATTAGTGATCAAGGGAAGTTGTCACGGGCAAAGTGCCAATAGCAGGATATCCAGTGATACTGTGTGGGGCACACCCCCCCCCCCCCCCAGTGCATCTTGATTGCCCTTAGGAGTTGCCAGCAGAGAGTGGCATTTCGAGGTTCGAAGCAGGGCGTAGAAGGATGGTCACCTGGACCCAGTTATGCTGGAGGCACGGGTAGCGATTGTAAGGCACCCACAGGACAGTGGTGGTGGTGTTAGAGAATGGGGACTCTCTCTCTTGTTTCTGGCCTTCTTCTGCCACTAAAGTATGGCAAACTCTGTGCTGGTCTTACAAAGTATGTCTGTGGCTTACCTGTTATGAGGTAAAGAGTCCAACTCTTGTTTACCCCTAGACTATCCCTCTTTGAGATTACGAGTAAAAATAACATCTTGACAATGACCTACCAAAATAGTAACAATCTGAACACTTTCAGTCCCAGGGGGTTTAGAATCATTTTCTTCTTCTTCTTTATGTTCACCAGCTGTAAACTCTAGCGGAAAGTTCTGGCTGTTCATCCACTTTTGGACTGTAGTTCTGTTCCTGAACCTGATGTTGCGTGTGCATCAGTTTTACAGATCTGATACCTTTGTATGCAGACTGCTGGTTCCTTGCCTCTCAGGCAGATGCACTCCAACTTCAAAGGAAGCTCCCAGTTAGTGGACTCTTTCGATGTGCTTTTAGGTAGGCAGTGGGTCTATTCTTGTTTTCCCTATAATAGGTCCTTGCCTCTCAGGCAGATGCACTCCAACTTCAAAGGAAGCTCCCCAGTTAGTTGACTCTTTCGATGTGCTTTTAGGTAGGCAGTGGGTCTATTCTTGTTTTCCCGATAATAGGGCCCCGGAACCCATGCAGGGAGGGCTAGCATCAGAAGCCCAAGGGGCAGTAAAGAGAAATGTAAAACTGGCACATTTTGCATTCACTGGGCTTCTAGGTAGGAACCAATGAACATAAGTTGCATTCCTTGGGACTGAAAGAGTTAAAATATTTGGCTTCAATGTCAAATCAGTGCTGCTGACACATGGAGAACTACTAAAACAACTGCTAATAAATTACAAACATTTATTAACTAAGGTGAACACAATACAGAGGATTTCATGGTATGATAGAATCATTAATGTGGATCTTTCTGAGAGAACTAAATAATTATAAGTAAACAAAGGAAGACCATATACACAAAATCACCAGCTGCAAGATGAGGTACCTGAGAAAAACAGCCAACCCAACCATCAGTGGACAAGTTAAAAAAAATGATACTATGAGACAGATTGTGGGAACAACACCTTGCACTAGATTCATCGAGAAATAGCAAATCAAGTGGTTTGGCCATCTCATTAAAATGCAGCAAGATCGAAAACCATAACAGGCACCAGGTCTCAGAAGATAATCTACAAGAGCAAGGGCTATGAAAAATATGGATTGACATGAGGGATAATTTATGCCTTCACCCATGATAATAATCAGTGCCACCCAGCATAGACTGGTAGGCGAATTGTTCCTCTCCACGAGGCTTAATGGCAGAAGTGGCTTATGATGACGATGATGATGATGATGATGATGAAAGAGTTGAAGAACAGATGCTGGTATTGGACAGAACACACACTGAAAAAAACCTGACAACAATATAATTAGAATGTCTTCCCACTGGAACCCCCAGGATCAAAGGAATAAAGGCAGACAAAAACAAAATGGAGAAGGGAACTAGAGAGTGAAGTAAAAAAGACAGGGAGGACATGGGGAGAGCTGCATGCGATAGCAAAAGACAGGGAGGACATGGGGAGAGCTGCATGCGATAGCAAAAGACAGGGAGGACATGGGGTGAGCTGCATGCGATAGCAAAAGACAGGGAGGACACGGGGAGAGCTGCATGCGATAGCAAAAGACAGGGAGGACATGGGGTAAGCTACATGCGATAGCAAAAGACAGGATGATATGGAATGAGCTGGTTGAGGGCGTTATTCTTCAGTTGAGGATAGAGGACAGAAAAAGCTTTATTACATTTATCATCATCTTGCAACAAGTCCCGGTAGAATGTTATTTTTAATTCAGCCAGTCAGAAAAACTCTTCGTTCCTGCCCAGTTTCCATGCTTCATATATTTTCATACCACAGGCATCTGCAATATTTTGTGTCTACTGTCATGCTTACTGATCTCTGAGACATGTTTTGCATTACTGTCTTTCTAAGTCACCGTGGTATTCATAATGCCCTTAAATCTGTGTTCATCAGCCTGTGTGGCCAGGGGACCACCAGTAGTCTATGAAAATGTCTTGATGGTTCAAAAACAATTTCTGCCTAATCTTGCAGTGGCTACACAAATCTGTGACTACACAGCTGCATAGATTTTTTAACCTCTAAACAGGTTGCTGTTCATGTTTCCAGGCCCAGGATCAGAGTAGCTTCCCTTACCTTAGGTCGCTGAACTTCTCCTATGTTGCGAGAGAGTCGTTTTCCTTATTGTGAACAGTGTAATCGTTGCCTCTTTTCTCTTTCTCTCCTTGCTCACTTGCGTGATTATTTTCATGTTCTGCTACCTGCGTGACGGTTCGGTAGTATGGAAACAGCAATATTTTTGTATTTCTACGCTCCCTGTAACTGCTTTCTTTCTCTCTGTGGGAAGCCACCGCCAAATAATGTCGAAATACAAAATACATCCCAGTTTTGAAAGCCAAAAATCGATGTGCTTGAGGCACTTCCCCCTGCAGTACTTCTTACTTGTACACATGCGCCTGCAGCATCTGAAATAGACTCACAACACAACCTCCTACAAACACTACATAAGCTTTGCAAATGCAGTACCAAGCCATATCATAACATGCCCACAACACAGGAGAGGTCCAGCGACTTGAGGAGGCATGAATGGCAAGGGAAGTTACTCCAATCCTGGGCCTGCAAACGTGAACAGGTCCCTAAACAGCAGCAGATGTCACATAGCTGAAGACTGAAATTCTCTGACATCTAATTAAACAAATAAACCGCTATATACATATGTTTTTGTTTTCTGGTCTGAGAAACAATTTCTCCTATTTTGCCACCCTGCAGGTGTACAGTTTGAAGAATTCTGTTGTTAGCAGTGAGATGGTCCCCAAATGATTTCACATTTTGCAAGTCATTTACTTCACAAATGTACTACACATTCTGCAGATAATCACTTACCTTCCCAAGCTTATTTTTCTCAATCTTAAGGCAGTTCTTGTCTAAATAATGCTTGAGTAAATGAGTCTGCAGCCTTTTCTCAACTTCTTTTACTGTCAAATTCTTATTGTCATCTGAAAGAATGGAAAGACAACAAGTTATTCTCCCTTAGTTCTGCAAGCTATAATAATAAGTTAGGCATTCCCTGTGTGGTGTCTGGGGTTCCATTGTGATGAAGAAAGGAATGGACCCCAGCATCAATACACTACCTCAGCATATCCACTACCCAAGCATCTATCCACTACCCAAGCATCTATCCACTACCCCAGCACCTATCCACTACCTAAGTAACTATCCACTACCCAAGCATCTATCCACTACCCCAGCATCTATCCACAACCTAAGTAACTATCCACTACCCAAATATCTATCCACTACCCAAGTAACTATCCACTACCCAAGAATCTATCTACTACTTAAGCATCAGTCCACTACCCCAGCATCTATCCAATACCTAAGTAACTATCCACTACCCCAGCATCTATCCACTACCTAAGTAACTATCCACTTCCCAAGTAACTATCCACTACCCAAGTAACTATCCACTACTCAAGCATCTACCCACTACCTAAGCATCTATCCACTACCCCAGCATCTATCCACTACCTAAGTAACTACCCACTACCCAAGCATCTATCCACTACCCAGGCATCTATCCACTATCCAAGCATCTATCCACTACCTACGTAACTATCCACTTCCCAAGCATCTATCCACTACCTAAGTAACTATCCACTACCCAAGCATCTATCGACTTCCTAAGTAACTAAATTAAAAAAAACAACTGATTCGTAAAATGGAAGAGTAGGCAAAACTTAAGACTAAAGACCAGATGTGGACAAACAACCAAAACTCACAGTCAGGGTTTTCAACTAGCAAATGATAAGAAGAAGATGAAGTGAGAGTTAAAGAAGTAGCTAAATAAAATTATTTACATACTGTAAATGTAAACAACAGATATTCCCAGAAAATTGGAAATACAGAAAAAGCGCTAATAATGATAATAATAATAATAACTGTATAAAGTACAATCCTACTAATAATATCTAATAACACAGTTGTTTCTAGAACATAAGTTGTGTATTAACAGAAGAGCATTAGTTCTTCTTTGTTTACCAGATGTAAGCTCTGGTGGAAGGTCCTAGTTGTTCATCCATTTAGACTTTGGCTTTGAGCTCGGGCCCGAGTTTTGCATGTACATCTTTTGTTACTGGCCAATTTGTGTGTGGTTAGTTGTTCTTTGCTGCTTGGACAGATGCACTTCAACTTCAAAGTAAGCTCCCAATTAGTCGACTTCTGAGACACGGGGCCGCAGAACCCACATGCAGAGTTGTGTATTACACAAATAAATAGCCTAGTTTGAAAGAACTTTGTAGGCTAGGAAAAAAACAAACGTTTAATTAACATTTGCAACGTGCCCTATCAAAGAGATCATTACAGTACTCACTTTCCAGAAGATCTTCAAAGGTCAGCTATTGTCAACCTAATGAATGCTTTTGAAGTGTAGAGCTTTGTTATGCAATTGAGATGCAATTCCCTGACGAGGACGCAGTTTGTAAACAAAATTGATATATTGGAACCCACTTGAAGCGGTTAGTAGGTAGGACAACCTTCCAGACATGCCAAAGCAGTATAAACAGTGCATAGAAAATTATTGGAGAATCTCACCATGGGAATTCCAAGCCCTACTGTGGGAGAAAAAGAACAGTTCCACTGCCTACCCAAAAAAGCATGTCACATCAAACGATTATTTGGGAGCTTCCGTCAAAGTGTATCTGCCTGCAAAGCGAGGAACCAACAGTCTGCATTTACATTAGTCAGATCTGTAAAATGGATGTGCAAGCATAACTCAAGTTCTGGAACAGGACTAGAGCCCAGAAGTGGACACACTACCAGAACTTTCTGCAGAAAGTTTACAACCAGTGATCACGAAGAAGACGAATTCAGAATCTTTAGCTTTCCAGATGTAGAATCGATGCTAAACAGACAGGTCAGTGGTGATCCCAGGGAGAAGCAGCCTTACAGAGGAGACACTTGTGAGGAGACATGAGACGAGACACTTGTAAGGAGACATGAGACTAGACACTTGTGAGGAGACATAAGACTAGACACTAGTGAGGAGAAATAAGACTAGACACTTGTGAGGAGACATGAGATGAGACACTTGTGAGGAGACATGAGAAGACACTTGTGAGGAGACATGAGATAAGACACTTGTGAGGAGACATGAGAAGACACTTGTGAGGAGACATGAGATGAGACACTTGTGAGGGGAAATGAGCAGACACTTGTGAGGAGACATGAGACGAGACACTTGTGAGGAGACATGAGACAAGACACTTGTGAGGAGACATAAGACGAGACACTTGTGAGGAGACATGAGAAGACACTTGTGAGGAGCCATGAGAAGACACTTGTGAGGAGACATGAGATGACACTTGTGAGGAGACATGAGATAAGACACTTGTGAGGAGATATGAGAAGACACTTGTGAGGAGACATGAGAAGAGACACTTGTGAGGAGACATGAGATGAGACACTTGTGAGGAGACACGAGAAGACACATGTGAGGAGACATGAGAAGACACTTGTGAGGAGACATGAGATGAGACACTTGTGAGGAGACATGAGATGACACTTGTGAGGAGACATGAGAAGACACTTGTGAGGAGACATGAGAAGACACTTGTGAGGAGACATGAGAAGACACATGTGAGGAGACATAAGAAGACACTTGTGAGGAGACATGAGAAGACACTTGTGAGGAGACATGAGAAGACACTTGTGAGGAGACATGAGATGAGACACTTGTGAGGAGACATGAGGAGACACTTGTAAGGAGACATGAGATGAGACACTTGTGAGGAAACATGAAACAAGAGGAAAAGATCTGTGGAACAGGCCCTCCAGTTTCCTTTGTATAAAGTACTTTTCAGTGTCTGATCTTTCTGAGGTTCATCTTCTGCCTTGTCGACCTCTGGCTCCGTTACAGCTGCAAATATGCAGAGAGAGACAGACAGACAGACAAAAAGTGTTGAGGAAGGAAAGACAAGCAAATAGTAAAAGTATATAAAATGCCCACACCTGTTTTCATATCTTTGTGCTCAATGCCAAGATCATATGCCAGTTCCTTGATTTTGTCCAGAACTGTGTCTGCATCAAAAGTTTGCACTTTCTCTTTCACAGCTGAAATACAAGGGATTGAGGTTTATGCCAAACTACAACAAAAAACTCCATTACCGATTGTTTTTACTCCTTTCGTGTAGTAGGCAAAATGGAGGTGTGTGGGGCGGGGGGGGGGGGGGGGGGTCGGGTGCCCAGTTTTTCAGCTAGAGTGTTTGTTCTTTACATTTTCTGACATATCGTTTGTTCTTTACATTTTCTGACAAATACAAACTGGGTGTTTGTTCTTTACATTTTCTGACAAATACAAACTGGGTGTTTGTTCTTTACATTTTCTGACATATCGTTTGTTCTTTACATTTTCTGACATATCGTTTGTTCTTTACATTTTCTGACATATCGTTTGTTCTTTAAATTTTCTGACAAATACAGACTGGGTGTTTGTTCTTTACATTTTCTGACAAATACAGACTGGGTGTTTGTTCTTTACATTTTCTGACAAATACAGACGGGGTGTTTGTTCTTTTCAGTTTCTGACATATACAGACGGGGTGTTTGTTCTTTACAGTTTCTGACATATACAGACTGGGTGTTTGTTCTTTACATTTTCTGACAAATACAGACTGGGTGTTTGTTCATTACAGTTTCTGACAAATACAGACTGGGTGTTTGTTCTTTACAGTTTCTGACAAATACAGACTCGGTGTTTGTTCTTTAAATTTTCTGACAAATACAGACGGGGTGTTTGTTCTTTACAGTTTCTGACATATACAGACGGGGTGTTTGTTCTTTACATTTTCTGACAAATACAGACGGGGTGTTTGTTCTTTACATTTTCTGACAAATACAGACTGGGTGTTTGTTCTTTACATTTTCTGACAAATACAGACGGGGTGTTTGTTCTTTACATTTTCTGACAAATACAGACTGGGTGTTTGTTCTTTACATTTTCTGACAAATACAGACGGGGTGTTTGTTCTTTACATTTTCTGACAAATACAGACGGGGTGTTTGTTCTTTACATTTTCTGACAAATACAGACTGGGTGTTTGTTCTTTAAATTTTCTGACAAATACAGACGGGGTGTTTGTTCTTTACAGTTTCTGACATATACAGACGGGGTGTTTGTTCTTTACAGTTTCTGACATATACAGACGGGGTGTTTGTTCTTTACAGTTTCTGACATATACAGACTGGGTGTTTGTTCTTTACATTTTCTGACAAATACAGACTGGGTGTTTGTTCTTTACAGTTTCTGACAAATACAGACTTGGTGTTTGTTCTTTAAATTTTCTGACAAATACAGACGGGGTGTTTGTTCTTTACAGTTTCTGACATATACAGACGGGGTGTTTGTTCTTTACAGTTTCTGACATATACAGACGGGGTGTTTGTTCTTTACAGTTTCTGACATATACAGACTGGGTGTTTGTTCTTTACATTTTCTGACAAATACAGACTGGGTGTTTGTTCTTTACAGTTTCTGACAAATACAGACTGGGTGTTTGTTCTTTACACTTTCTGACAAATACAGACTGGGTTTTTTCTCTCGCTATACCAGTAAATATAGTTTGTGTTTGTCATTTACAGAAGAATGCAGAGTGGGTGTTTTTCCACTACATTTACTGATGAATAAAAAATGTTGAATGCTGAATGTTAAATTAAGAACAAACATCACAGCACTTTTGACACCTCCATAAGCGCTCTGTCCTTATTTTAAGCAGCAAGCGAAGAGTTCCAATTCCGATGGCACCAGTAACTGTCTGATTGTATATCTGTCTCGCCTTTTTCCTGAGTGTTGAGCTAATGATGAATAAAGAGTAGGTGATTGTTCTTGAGATTTACTAATACACACTGAGTGTTTGTTCTTTATATTTACTAATACACAGTAAGTGTTTGTTCTTTATATTTGCTAATACACAGTAAGTGTTTGTTCTTTATATTTACTAATACACAGTAAGTGTTTGTTCTTTATATTTACTAATACACAGTGAGTGTTTGTTCTTTATATTTACTAATACACAGTAAGTGTTTGTTCTTTATATTTGCTAATAAATACAGGGCCATGAGTCTGTTTTTTAAATATTCCATGGAAATGCTGTTCATGCGATTTTTATATCTTTACAAAGGACTTGTGGGAACAAAATATCATGGACCGTGTTGTGTGGAGGGAATGAGAATGAAGGACGAAATGATTATAGAAAGGTTCAGAGCTGAGCATCTGAGAAGAAAAAACAAATAAACACAAATGATGACAACAACTGTCTTGAAATCCTAGGCTATAGTTATGAGAGACATCCCTTAACTAGAGCGGGTCTTGTAAGCTTACACTCGCAATCACCAGGCTGTGTGTCCTATGTCTCTTCAATGCGTAATATAACACTCACTATCAACTGGAAGGACAAAAAGCTGCCAGAAACAACAACAACAAAAGGCCAAAATACTCATGCAAGTAACAAATGAGTGAAGTGAATCATGGACAGTTGGTCAATTAGTGACAAATTAAGATAAAACTACATTCACAACCAATATGTCTGAACAACATTTTGGTTTTGTTTCTGGTCAACATCTGCTTTGTGTTTGAAAGAGGACTGGTAATCAAACCAAGGTGCATTTGGTTGCCTGGTTGGTAGGAACTCCAATAACCTGCAGCGGAAACTCCAATCACCTGCAGCTGAAGTGAACCTAGGTTGTCAGAATTACCAAACTGCATTCCTACTCCTAAAGGCAACATCCCCTCAACTCTAATGCCTGTTATCCCCCCCCCCCCCCCCCCCCCCCCCCCCCCCCCCCCCCCCCCCCCCCCCCCCCCCCCAACGGAGCCTCTTACCTCACATGGAGAGAATATATACTACATTTTTGTGCGTAAAAAGGTAGGGGGGGTCAATATCCGCTTTGTTTAACCAGGTGTTGCAGTTTGAAAGATGACTGGCAGCCAAAACCAGGGTGCCTCTGGTTGCGTGGTATTCTTTCTTTGCATGCGACTCCACTGATCCATTTTCAAGGTCTACCTCTCATGATGTTTCCATTTCCATTCTTTTAGACCTGACCTGACCTGCCTACTTACCCTACTGCTCTGGGTCACTTTCTGTCCAGTTTCTATATCATACAAATTAACCCATACATGGAGTTTCTAATGTACACATTTGTGTTACAGAGATTTTGTGAAGACCTCAATGTAAGGATAAATGATTTTATGCATTACTGTTTGTAATGGTATCATTTGTGTGGTATGTCGATGAGAGATATTTAGCCGCAGTGTTCATCTGGTGTGTGTGATTGTTGTATGTGAAGCTGATCAGTTAGTTCTACATATTCCAATTCTATTTTTCTTTATAAACTTGAGTACAGTCACAAATTTTGTTCTTCTTCTTAACATTTATCTGAGTAATACAATTGTGTTGGGCCTGTTTACAGCACAGCTGCAATAAATGCACCTTTGGCCGACACATCCCACTTAATTTAGCATCTGTTAGCCTTTCTAAAAAAAAAATGCATTTTATTTTGACAGGACTCTCATTCATACCTTCCATCTTCGTATTCAAAGTTAAGATTGACGGTCTGGATGTCTCATCCTCCTCCCAGCACATCAGGCACATTTCCCAAATCAACTCAAGGACTTCTAAAGCTTCTGGCACCAGCTTCTTTCCTTCATCTTCTTCTGAGGATGGTTCCCTGTTGTTGTCTTCAAGAAAAGTTGGACGTGGGAGGTGCTTGTTTGTCTCCAGGTATGTCAGCATCTAAAACAGAATAGTATATATGTTGTTATGATCTCAAGACAAGGGATCTCAAAGCTGGGGTTCCAGAGATGCAGTGTCCAGAAAACCTCTGACACTCATAGTCTATCCCCAGTGTATGGATGATAGGGTCTTTTATGAACTCACTGTAAAATGAGTGAAGTTCACTGGGTAAGCCTCTTACTAAATGATAAACACGTCTTTTGATCCACAGCCCTACTTAATGGCAACATCCTACTTGATGCCACAATCGCTTTAGCCCAGCCACAATCTTTCTGGAGACAGGACTGACATTTCCCTCAGCCTCAGAGTGCATCTGCCTGCTAGATGAGGCAACATCATGCTAGGATCAGGTGGGATGTGTATACACATGATGTATGCACACCAGTCAGACATGCTGGCACAACATAGGATGTGTGTACACCAGTCACACATGCTAGCACAAGACAGTATGTGTGCACAACAGTCGCACATGCTAGCACAAGACAGGATGTGTGTACACCAGTCACGCATGCTAGCACAAGACAGGATGTATGTACACCAGTCACACATGCTAGCACAAGACAGGATGTATGTAAACCAGTCAAACATGCTAGCACAACATAGGATGTGTGTACAGCAGTCACACATGCTAGCACAAGACAGGATGTATGTACACCAGTCACACATGCTAGCACAAGACAGGATGTGTGTACAGCAGTCACACATGCTAGCACAAGACAGGATGTATGTACACCAGTCACACATGCTAGCACAAGACAGGATGTATGTACACCAGTCACACATGCCAGCACAAGACAGGATGTGTGTACACCAGTCACACATGCCAGCACAAGACAGGATGTGTGTACACCAGTCACGCATGCTAGCACAAGACAGGATGTATGCACACCAGTCACACATGCTAGCACAAGACAGGATGTATGTACACCAGTCACACATGCTAGCACAAGACAGGATGTGTGTACACCAGTCACACATGCCAGCACAAGACAGGATTATGTACACCAGTCACACATGCTAGCACAAGACAGGATGTATGCACACCAGTCACACATGCTAGCACAAGACAGGATGTATGCACACCAGTCACACATGCTAGCACAAGACAGGATGTATGTACACCAGTCACACATGCTAGCACAAGACAGGATGTGTGTACACCAGTCACACATGCCAGCACAAGACAGGATTATGTACAGCAGTCACACATGCTAGCACAAGACAGGATGTATGCACACCAGTCACACATGCTAGCACAAGACAGGATGTATGTACACCAGTCACACATGCTAGCACAAGACAGGATGTGTGTACACCAGTCACACATGCTAGCACAAGACAGGATGTGTGTACACCAGTCACACATGCTAGCACAAGACAGGATGTGTGTACAAAAAGTCACACATGCCAGCACAAGACAGGATTATGTACAGTCACACATGCTAGCAGAAGACAGGATGTATGTGCACCAGTCAAACATGCTAGCACAACATAGGATGTGTGTATAGCAGTCACACATGCTTGCACAAGACAGGATGTATGTACACCAGTCACACATGCTAGCACAAGACAGGATGTATGCACACCAGTCACACATGCCAGCACAAGACAGGATGTATGCACACCAGTCACACATGCTAGCACCAGGCAGGATGATTTTACTGGGGGGGGGGGGGGGAGGGAGAGTGCCTGAGGTTGGAAGGGGGGGGGGGGCTGGGGGCTGGGAGGGGCTAGCTTCCTTTGGGGGAGGGGGTGGCAGGGCCCCACTGTGCCTTCACCTGATTTAGATATATAGGGTGAAAAAGAGCATACCCAGTGTATCCTCAACAAACCTGTTGTAGTAGTGGACTAATTAGGGGTTTCCTTTGAAGGTCAAAGTGCATCTGCCTAGAAAACAAGGAACCAACAGTCTGCATGCAAGTAAAACAGATCTGTAAAATGAATGTGCTAGAAAAATCCAAGTTGAGGAACAGGACTAAAGTTCAGGAATGGACAAAGTACCAGAACTTTCGGCCAGAGTTTACAACCTGTGAATGTGAAAAAAGAAGATATATATATATATATATATATATATATATATATATATATATATATATATATATATATATATATATATATATATATATATATATATATACATACATACAAAATATACATATATATATATATACATACATACAAATATACATATATATATATACATTATATATATATATATATATATATATATATATATATATATATATATATATATATATATATATATATATAAAACGCCCGTGTGTCACCGGGGCCCTCAGGGGAAGCAAAGAATAGTGACACTGCACCCTACCAGGCATGTCGTAAGAGGCGACTAAGGGTAGGGTTGGGCGTGAGGTTGGCTACCTCATCCTGTAAAAACCATAGCCACAAAAACCAACCAACCATGGATAAGTCAAAAAGAGAAGCAAATAAACTCCAGCCAACCAAGATGAGGGGAGGCTCTTCAAATATGAGGTTAGAAAGATTGGGAGGACATGGGGAGAGCTCCATGTAATGGCGAAGGATAGAACGACTTGGCGTGAGTTGGTTGAGGGCCTATGCTCCATTGGGGGATAAAAAGGCAGAAGAAGAAGAAGAATATATATATATATATATATATATATATATATATATATATATATATATATATATGTATATACATATATATATGTGCTGAATGGCCAAAAATATTTCTGAAATAATATGAAATGCAGATACAAATAATGGTTTTAAGGGTAGCATTTCAATCTGACAGATTTTCAACAAAGGCTCCGCTGGCCCCAGTTTTGACAGGAGCCTGAGCCTTAAGGTCCACACCTGTAGTGTACATGAAAATCACACATGCTAGCACAGAAACACAGAAAGAACCAGCCAGCCAACAACAAATAATACATCAAAACCCAACTTACATTTTCAGCCGGACTGAGTTTCAGATCCTGTGAGAACTGGTCACTCTGGCACAGAAGCTCATACAAGGTAGTTCCCATAGCATATACCTCAGATTCATACGTGATTTTCTTCAGGTCATTTCTCCGTTCAGGTGAAAGCCATGGAGCTCTTCAACATAATAATGACAGGTTTTAGACAATTTAAAAGGAAGCATAAGTATTTAGAATATTAAGTTTATAATAAGTAGATCTGCCTGACCTCTTATCTTTCAAGATAAATAATTGAGAACCTCTCACCTTTACAGATTATTCATTCTAAACCTCAAAATTTCTAATATTATAAATTTTCTTTCAACTGTTATTCTGACCACTCACCTTTCAACATTATAAATGTTTTCCGGATCAAAGAAGGAAACTACTCCAGGGTCTCCAAGTTTCACTGTAATTTGATTAGACCCCTGAGTGTCAAAGGCATAAAATTTCCTCAGCCTCAAGTTTCCATGGTAAATATTGTGTTTCTCCTGAAATTATCAAGAAAAAATTAACTAGAATGAGCAGCTGAGCTAGAAAGCATTCCAATAAAACATATACGAAGTATTATATGATATAAGGAAGTGAAACATTGACAGTTGGTAAATTAGTGAACACTTATTTGGAAGCTGCGGAGATATGGTTTTTATAGAAGAATGATGAGAATACCCTGGACAGATATAAAGAATAATGAGGACGTCTTGTGGGAAACTGACTCATAAAGAAAAATTATTGCCCACGTCAGAAAGAGACAAATAACATTCTTTGGTAATGTAATGAAAAGGAGAAATCTGGAGTACATCGTGACAGTAGGAAAGTTGGAGGGGAGGAGAGGCAGAGGGAGACCATGGGAACAGATGCTGGACAGTCTGACATCATGGCATTGAGGATCATCTGTGTCCGCGTTGATTGAAAGTAGGAGTAGGACTTTTCTTCGCAAAACACTCATGGTATGTTGACAAGAGTTGGCCATGTAACAAAACTGGCATCAGGCAGGGCACCACAGAGAGTTATACAGATACAGCGGTAACAGAGCCAGAGGTCAACCCTGCAGAAATATCTGACACTGAAATGTTTTATACATGAAGCTAACAGAATAGCTCATTCTAGAGATCTCCTCCTGCCCTGACGCTGCAAGGCATTTCAGGAGTAAAGAAAATAAGGAAAAGAAGATTTTAACAAGAATGATATTTGGGGAAATGCACAGATGAATACGCACAAATGATAAAAGAGAAAACATTTTACCTACCATCACAATGAGAATTTTAATGATCTGATCCATGATATTCACTTTCTGCGCCACCGACTGGGGATTCTCACAAATGTAGGTCAGGACATCATGATGTGGGGTAAACTCCATTAAGACAGAAAATGTCGGATCCAGGACCGTGCTGTAAAACCTCAGAAAGCTGGTCTTTTTGATGCGATATAATTGCTGGAGTTTTGCAAGTCCTCCTAGGAAAACCTGGTCATTGATAAATATTGATAACAATTTACCTGTTTTTTTTTCTTCTTCACATTTCACAGACAAATCCTTAACATATTACATCATTGTTTAGATTTCCCTGGACAACAGAAACAATTTTTCACAGGCAAAAGGTACTACAGACTGTCATGAAGTGGCTTCAGTTACGCAATCTTATATAAATCCTCAAACCGCTTAGTTAATTAAAACAATTCTAGAATATTCAGGCACCAAAGAAATATATGACGTGGTACTTTAATGTGGGGTTTGGGATTCAACCAATCTACGGTAAGGGAAAAATGTCAACGTCACTCCTTACTGACACCTTAACCTAACCACGGGTTTGAATTGATAACATCGTGAAGAGAAGACAACATTGGAGAGTTTGAGAATGAAAATAGAAAGAAGCTGCCTTTATTGTTTCAGACGATTCAAGAAGTGTGATCCCAGCCCAGAAGTATCGAGATCATGATTACCATCAGGCAAGAAGCTACCATCAAAATTGATGTGAGCCAACAATGAACATCTAAGATAAGGAGAAGAAAGAAACAGGTGACATTGTAATCTTTTAAGAGGAACATCCGAACAGCAATCCAGTCAGAGGACAATGAAGTAAAGTATAAAGACGATTAGCAGAAACTGCATAGAGAGACAATTATATAATAGGAGTTTTTTGAAACTTAAGTTCGTAACAGAAATATTGTGTCGTCAATATTGTTAGAAATAAATTAAATTTAGAATTTATGAGATGTGTAACCATCACTAAAGAAAATATCAAATAAATGTTTCTAAAAACAAGTTCAAACGTTTAGAAAATTGATATCATTTTGTCATCATGTGTCGTTCTCTGATAGAATAAAACCACATTATTAGTGAAAGTTTCTTGGGTGCAGTATCTATTAAAGCAAGGTCACTCTAATTAGGTAAACAGCCCACGACTTAACTCAATTATTTACTAAGAGACTAAAGTCTACCACCTAATTCCTTGCTTCGGGATAAGAAAAACAATTCTTTTTTGTTTCTCAGGACATTTCCCTAAAGTAGATCCATATTTCGAGCAATATGTTCTTACAATTCCTATCCTGTACTTTATGACAAAGGGTATAAAAAATTTAACATAATATATAGGAGGCAAAGTGAACTATAACTAAAATGAACTACAAACAAAATGAATCACAGACACAATAAATCACAGACAAAATATACCACAAACAAAATCTACTGTATCACAGACAAAATATACCACAAACTAAATGTACTGTATCACAGACAGAATGAATCACAGACAAAATATACCACAAACAAAATGTATCACAGACAGAATGAATCACAGACAAAATATACCACAAACAAAATGTATCGCAGACAGAATGAATCACAGACAAAATATACCACAAACAAAATCTACTGTATCACAGACAAAATATACCACAAACAAAATGTACTGTATCACAGACAAAGTATACCACAAACAAAATGTACTGTATCACAGACAAAATATACCACAAACAAAATGTACTGTATCACAGACAGAATGAATCACAGACAAAATATACCACAAATAAAATGTACTGTATCACAGACAGAATGAATCACAGACAAAATATACCACAAACAATGTATCACAGACAGAATGAATCACAGACAAACAACAAAATGTACTGTATCACAGATGAAAGTTACTGGACCACAGAGAAAATGTACTATATCACAAGAAAAATGCAATGCATCACATATTAAAAGTATCACAGACAAAAAGTACTGTATCACAGACATAATGTATCACAGGTAATGCACCATAAGTACTTATCACAGACATAATGTATCACACACAAAAATGTACTGTATAACACACATAATGTATCACAGACAAAATGTACTGTATCACAGACAATGAATCACAGACAAAATGTACTCTATCACTGACACAAAGTATCAAAGACCAAATGTAGTTTCACAGATATAATGTATCACAGACATAATGTATCACAGACAATGAATCACAGATAAAATGTACTCTATCACTGACATAATGTAGTATCACAGACATAATGTATCAAAGGCAAAATGTACTGTATAACACACATAATGTATCACGGACAAAATGTACTGTATCACTGACACAGTGTATCAAATACATAATGTACTGTATCACTGACACAATGTATCAAATACATAATGTAGTATCACAGTCATAATGTATCACAGACAAAATGTACTGTATCACTGACATAATGTATCAAAGACATAATGTAGTATCACAGACATAATGTATCAAAGACAAAATGTACTGTATTACTGACATAATGTATCACAGACATAATTTAGTACCACAGTAATAATGAATCACAGACAAAATGTACTGTATCACATACATAATGTAGTATCACAGTCATAATGTATCACAGACAAAATGTACTGTATCACATACATAATATAGTATCACAGTAATAATGTTTTACAGACAAAATGTACTGTATCACAGACAAAATGTACTGTTTCACAGACATAATGTATCACAGACAACAAAAGTACTATACCATATATAAAATTAATCACAGAAAAAAATGCACTGTATCACAGATAAAAATGAGTTGACTGAAAGTGTGAGAAGTCATTACTTGACATAATGCTGTCAAGTACCCAGTTACTTTGTCACAGTCACGTTATTTCCACCACCATGATTAAGTCAAACTTTCCTGTTAATGATAGTTCATCCATCAAGATGTCAGTCTATCGTTAGTTTCCCAATCGAGATAATGTCAAGTTTCCATTCTGGTGTAAGTTCCTACATCAAGATAATGTTGATATTCTAGTATTAGTTCCTTAATCAAGATAAGGTCAAATTGTCATTCTGACAATATTTCCTCCACCTCAATAATGTCAAGCTGTAGGTCAATCAAGATGCCAGACTGTTGTTAGTTCCTTCATCAAAAAAATGTCAAGTTTACATTCCAGTGTGAGTTCCTGCATCAAGATAATGTCAGGTTGCCATTCTAGCATTAGTTCTTCAACCAAGACAATGTCAACTTGTCTTCTGACATTAGCTCTTCCACCTCCAAAATATCAAGTTGTCATTCGGATTATAGTTCCTCCACCATGTTTATGTAAAGTTATCATTCTAAATTTAGTTCATCCATCAAGATGACAGTCTGTCATTAGTTCCTCCATCAAGATAATATCAGGCTATCACTGTGATGATAGTTCATCCATCAAGCTTATGTCAAGTTGTCATTTTGATGTTATTTCCTTCATCATCAAGATGATGTCAAGTTGTAATTCTTATTTAAGTTCCACCACCAAGATAATGTCAGTTCTAATGTCAACACTTGTCATTCTGATATTTCTACATCAAGAGAGTGTCAGTAAGTTATTCAGATGTCAATATCACCCTATATGATATTTGACCCTCGACTAGAGTAACATACAGTTTTCACCTTGGAGCCACTTTTTACCAGAAAGTAATGAGTGACATTTTCTAATCTGCAGAAAACACAACTGAACAAACTTTATTTTCAAAGGATCACACAGTGGGCTACAGAAAACACAATTAGATGCAGTAAAGCAAACCAAGTATTGGGACAGATAGGCCCCCTCTTACAGCATAAGACAATCCCAATCAGCTCAAAGAGACATCTTATTCAAAGCATATTTATTCTAACTCTGTGCTACCAGTGCCAGACATCGTCACTCACAACAAACCATAAAAGAAAATTAGTAACCACGGAAATGAGATGTCTGAGAAGGGCTGTAGGAGTGACCATAAGAGATAAGATCAGGAATGAGATCATAAGAGAAAAAGTCGGCACAGAACCAATTCTAAATTACATACAAAGACAGCAAGTGAAATGGTTTGCCCACTTGGAGAGAATGCCTTGTGACACCATACCATACAAAGCATACATGGGAAGAGAAGAAGGTCGTAGAGCAAGAGGTAGACCAAGAACAAGATGGAAGGATAACATCAGAGAAGCTCTACAACAGCACGATGTGCCTATGGTCGAGGCGGCCAGAAGAGCTAGAAACAGAACCTTATATCTCCCTCAACACCCACAGCGGTAAAAGAGGAAGTGAAGAAGAAGAAGAAGAAGAAGAAGAAGAAGAAGAACACACTGGGTATGCAAGACCTAAACACAAAAGCATGCATGGAAAAAAAACCGCCCATTTATAAATCCACACAAACAAAGGATTAAATTAAAACAACAACGTTAATAGTTACTGTTGTGCAGCCATCATGTTTAGAGTGGAGCTCTAGAAGCATCATCTGCTCATCACGGAATATCACTTCATATTTTGTAATAAGTGGATTCTTGTCTGGAATGTGAGACATATTGAACTGAAGATAAATGTTTTATAAATGATATGAAATAAATGATCAAAACATTATATGATGATAAACTCTTTGAGCTAAGTCTTTCATAAATCACAAGGAGTACGATTATTCATTGACATTTTTTTTTAAAGACAATCCCCCCCCCCCCCCCCCCCCAAACAATTTGAGGTTTTTCCTTCAAAATTAGAGTGCCAGAGAGGTGAAGAACCAACAGACTGCACACAAATAAGCCAGATCAGTAAAATGAATATGCAGGCAAAATTTAAGCTCTAGAACAAGACCTTAGTCCAAAAGACAAAAAACTTCGCCAGAGTTTACAGCCACTGAATGCTCAGAGGAAGAAGAAAAAGCTAATGCACTTGACATCAAATTATGTGGATAGACTTACATAGCCGGGAAACCCACAGTACCTCTGACGCACTATGATAAACAAACTGTAATGTACATCTTCTTCTTCTGTACTCGCAGCTGGCGTGCTGTGTTAGGGTTTACAGCTAGTAAAGTGAAAGACCCATGCCTGCACCTTCAGGCGTATTAGGTATATATATAGGGCTAGACCTATATTTTATAGACCAATCAACATTCAGTGGATTATATGGTCAGCAGCATGCCGGCCGCCTTTACTTCCCAGGATTTAGTATCCATTTGAGGTTGGATTGACCTAGAAGCTTAGGCATTTTTTTTAAAGTCCGGCTCCATCAGGACCTGAAACTATGACCTTCTGATCTACAGACCACATTTACAGCTAGGCTGAGATATTTGTGCAACTTACTCTCCATATCCAACACATCCGATCTCAGGGAAACCCTAATTAGTCGCCTTCTAGGACATGCTTGTTAGGGAGCAGTGGGTCAACTCCCCCCCCCCTCTCCCCCTTTCCACAAAAGCAGCCCCAGAGCCCACATTACGCATGAATGTACTGATTGCACTCACAGATACAGAATAGATAGAGACAAGAGGACATATTCCAAAACATGAAAAGTGAAAGCTATAGTCACCACACCAGGTTAGAGGAGTGCCTCTCCTGTCTTATTTTGATTCTGGGCACCTATCTCTGGCTTAATCAATGTGAAAAAAGCTAAAACTGCTACCTGGTATTTCTGAGACTCTAAGCAGATCAGCTTTCAAGACTGGAAGCCCTGTTGACTCTTTCTGAACATCCTCACTGGTTGTGTGGGGCCCATAATACTCTATTTTCGTTTCTTGAAATTCCTCATTAATGTCTGCCAATACTGAGACTGAAAAGAAAGAAATTACATTTGAACATTAACTGAACGAAGATTGTAATTCCTACATTTCCACTAAAATCTTCTTCTTCGCATAAACCAGCTACAGGTTCCAATGGAATGTTCTGGTATTTGTTTACTTCTAGACTTTGAACGAGTTTAGTGAGCACATCCATTTTACAGATCTGGCTTATTTATATGTAGACTGTTGGTTCTTTTTTGAGGAACAAACAGACCGCATACAAATAAGCCAGATCTGTCAAACAGATGTGCAGGCAAAGCTAAGGTTCGCTCTTCAGGCAAAACAGTTCAAAAAGCCAGCGATGCCTTCTCCATGACTACCAGCAGCATGGTGATGGCGGTGACACGGGCTTTCATGTGGCTATGATCACAACACTATTCCCGCGTGTGTGTCCTGGATGATTCTTTGAGCATAATCCGGCGGGTCGAGGTAGGCTGGTTACGAAGACAGTGGACTGAGTCATTGCAAAACTCTCCTGTGTGGAGTCATTGCAAAACTCTCCTATGTATGCAGTTACCTTCATATTTGTCCCAGGTCATGCAAGTGTTGGTAATGAAAGAGCTAATAGATTGGCAGGTGCTGCACCAATTAAAGATGGCCGGCGCATCGATCATGCAGACATAGTCAATGCTCTTAGAGAGATAGGACTTTCCGAGGATTTTGGAAGCAACATGTCCACATCACTGTTAATGAATACCAGAATTGGGAGTAAAAATCGGCACAGCCAAGAATGAGAAGCACACCGGATGCATGCAAAGTCTTGTTAACCAACATAGGACTGGCACCATTAATCTGGCGGCACTGATGAATATGTTGAGAGGGAAATCTGAGCACCTATGGATGTGTCTGGAGTGCAGTGATGATAATCTAACTCATAACTCATTCTTTTTTTAATTCATCCAGTTTAAGAAGGCTTTTAAACTTCTCACTATAGGGAATTTTGGAATGCTATGGTATACCAATAAAAACAATAAATATTATTAAGGCAGTGTATGAAGGTTCAGAGTGTGCAGTGTGAACAGATGATGGTTTAAGTGACTGGTTTGAAGTTAAATCTGGAGCGAAACAGGGATGCATTTTATCTTTTCCGTTATTTGGCCTTACTATCACTGGTGGGGGGAGAACACACAGTTGGAATATCTTGATTTTGCTGATGATACTGTTGAGCTAAGTAAAAACAAAAGTAACATGCAAAGGAAAACAGATGCGGGATTCACAAGTAAACGGTTCCCTAATTTGAAAAGAACCTTTGGGAAACTGACCAATGTAAGTACTCTCCTCTTTGTTATTGTTACGACCAAAACGTCGATTTGTGTTGTTTTGTGCAGGTTTTTCCGCTTCCCCATTTTCGTTAACCTTTATAGTCATAGTTCACTGTATTAATTGTCCAAAATAGGACTTTGGAGTTATCGTTGAAATCAATACAAAAAGATGCAATGTTTGTACATGATTACCTACCTCCACTTTAGGGGCTGCAGTAGTGCCCTGGCTAATAATACATAACCAACATCCTACAGAGCAGTTAGATGTTAGATGCTCACCTACCAGCCCTAAGGTTGTGGATTCAAATCCTCATCAAGACACATTGGGCGGGAAAGGGGGGGGCGGAGGGGTCAAAACATACTTTGGCTCCCAAGTCGACCCAGCCTAAATTGGGTACCAGGTAATGTCTTGGGAAGTATAGGCTTTCGGTGTGGCGATGACCACAACACCCATCTAATGCTGCTAGGTCAATAAAATATATGAGTCTGGCCTCATATGCCCGATGCACCACTGGCATAAACAGTGTCATTTACTTTATTCTTTTTAAATACTGCATACCTAATATGTCTTCTGACATGGAAAAGTATCCCCATTTTTTGGTTGCAATATTTTCAGACGCCTCGACCATCAAGTGGTAGAGTTGTCAGTATCAAACAGGTAGAAGTGGACTACCTAAACATTGTTCAGCTGCCCATTGTTGAGTTTGAAGCAATAAAATATGTTTGTAGTGAGTCATTTTCTTCCCGATAAAATATGTGTAATAGTAGGACGTAAGATCATGAATATGAATTAGATATTTTAATTTACTAGGGGCAGACTGTGGCCAAAATTGTTGACCAAAACGAATGAAGCGTTTAACCCAAAGTGGAAAGCTTGAAGTTTTGGAAATTCCTCCAGGGATTAAGACAGTTAATTAGACAGGTTTTAGGACCTTTGTTAATGGCGCAAAGGCCTATCCCCCCCCCCCTCTTCCCCAAAAGAGTGCGTCAGAGTAAACATGGGAAATATAACTGTATTAAACAGCTGAACATTGTGTCTGGGATTTGCACCTATTGGATTCACATCCAGAAGTGGCTATTTGTATCATTGGTTGTCAGTCTTTCTGGCTGTAATCCCAGAGCGGAAAATAAAAAAAACATACAATGCTAAACTTTATTCACATAAATCATGCAATATTCAAGTCTACTCACAACTTCTCGGAGATGGCTCCACCTGTGACCCAAATTTACTCTTCAGTTGTCTCCTTACTTGGCAACAATGGTCAAATGTGAACTCTGGCTCGCCCATTGTTAGCTTCAACTGCCCGTCTGGCAGACATTCTATTATTCCTGAGCTCGGTGTATTATGGTTACTGGGTGACTTACTGCTGGGCCTAACTCTAACATGGTATGTCCCAAACTTGTCCAAACTTTCATGGATGAGAAATGCTCCACCGTCAGATTCTTTAGACTTCGTTGCTTCCTCAAGGTAGGTTGCTGCAGTTGCTAACCTGAATTTAAATATAAAAATAAATTATAACATCATACGTTAGTTAGTGGGGAGGCATAGAAGCCTAGAGGGCTAAATGATCACTTGCCAGGCAGAAGGTCTTCAGTTCAAATCCGCATCGAGGCAAGATTTGTTTTCAAAACTGACACTGGCTCTTAGGTTGACCAGGCCTTAAACTGGTACCAGAAAATGTCCTGGGAAGTAAAGATGATCGTTATGATGATGACATGAAACACAGAGTGTGACTGGTCTATCAAAATATTAGTCTAGCATCACATGTCCGATGTAACCCTGGCGCAAAAAAAAGGGTTTCTTACTTTACTTTTACATTAATGATACTATAATTGGGGGTCTAAGTGGTGAAGTGGTCATGGGTGTGTTTCCAGCTACATTGTTTAGTTCATATCAGTTTTTACAGATCCCTGATGTTGATTGCGAAGAAGAAGAAGAATGACGAACAACTAGAACTTTCCACCAGAGTTTACAGATGGTAACTACGAAGAAGAAGAATGACGAACAACTAGAACTTTCCACCAGAGTTTACAGATGGTAACTACGAAGAAGAAGAAGGACGAACAACAAGAACTTTCCACCAGAGTTTACAGATGGTAATTGCGAAGAAGAAGAACGATTATTCAGAACTTTCTGCCAGTGTTTACAGTCTGTGATGGCTAAGAAGAATGCGAAAAACAAACAAAGCACACTTTTTTTCACACAACAGCGGTAGTGGTCAATGTGTTGCTAAATCCGTATTTTTATATGTTGTGGGGAAAATAGGAAACAAACCACTACCTCCCCAAAGGCATATCGCAAGAATCAACTATTTGGGAGCTTCTCTGAAGTTGTAGTGCATCGCCCAAGAGGCAAGGAACTAGAAGTCTGCATCTGCATAACAAAAAAACCAGATCTGTTAAACGGATGCACACACAGCAATCACATTCTAGAAACAAGACCAAAGTTCAGAGGTGGATGAACAACCAGAACTTTCCACCGGAGATTATATCTGGTGAACACAAAGAAGAAGAATGATAAAATTCCACAATAAAGAGGATTCAAACCAAAGACCTTAGGGTCAAACAACAAGAGACGTATGATCAGTTGAAAAAAACATTATAACCAGAAACATAAACCCTGAGACTTTACCCTATGGGTCCAAAACTTTTGAGCTCAGTACTTATTTTGGAGCTGGTTGTCCGTAGTTCCTCACAAAGGACAATGTTATAGCAGAAACACAGGCGGAGGTAACCTTGGATCATGCTGACAAATGATTCTGCTGCACCTTCCTCCGAAAATGAAATGATCTGAAAAACATCAGAATACCATTTTTTTTAAAATGTATAAGACAATATTTTCCCCACATTTTTAAAGTTTAAAACTGGCAGTCGACTTATTTAGGGAAAGTGATTAAAATATTTATTTGTTAATTCTGGGCTTAAAAAATAGGGGTCGTCTCATACATAAGGGAAATGGAACATATGGAAAAATACAATTAGTGGGCTTTTACAAACATATACTTCAATGCAGCTGCAATTTGCACATTTAAAGATCAGCTGCAAGGGGTTTTTAGTTTTCTCAGCTTTTTACCTTTTTGATTTGATTTGATTCAAGAACCGACATCACAGCACTCAGGGCATTCCCATAAGCGCTCCGTCCCCATCTTCAGCAGCCAGCGAAGAGTTCCGATACTAATGGTGCCAGTAGCTTTCTGATTAAACGTCCGTCTTGCCTTTCCTCTGAGCCTTGAGCTTCTGTCAGAACCTTTCGTCACCTCCAACTGCATCAATCTCACCAATTTGTGGTGATCCATCTGCTCCTCTGCATTGTACACGCTCTCCCACAAGGTACTAACCACGTCTGCCCTATCATGTAGCAGTATTCCACCAAGTTGTGCAGAGCCAGCCAGTCTGTCTGCCTGTTTATTTCCCAACACACTGGCATGACCCGGTGAAAAAATCCAGACAATACTCCTCACTCGTGTCCTCCGCAGTGAAGCATGCCACTCTGCACGAAGCATACCTGTTCTGATCTTCCTCAGCATGCTTTCTGAATCAGTTACAATTACAATGTGTGTGTGTGTCGTGTTCTCTAGCCAGCGGAAATCTGCAGTGACCGCCTCCACCTCCATTCTTAAGCTGGATGTTGTGGTATCATATGCAGGGCTCTCCTGCACCAAACGTCGACCATTAACTTTTGCTAAAAAGCCCCAAGCACTTCTTTTGCCTCTTGACACTGAACCGTCTGTGTAAATGATCAAATCCTCTGAGCGAGCATTAACTTGAATTAATTGCCGAATTTCCACCTCTATGGCACCTGCTGGCCAGTCTCTGCTTTTTACCATGCTCTAGCATAATCATCATTATCCTGCTATGACAAAACATAGGACTCAAATTCTATTCTTCCATTCTGGTCTATCCTGTGCAATTCTGCCAATAGCATGGATAGAATCCAGTCAAGCACCTTTGGCCTCTCTCATCAATGTTCATCATAGGGTTTCTATTGGACATCGTCATTTCCTCAACACATATGTCCCACTCAAGTAAATTATCCACGTGTCCTCAGGATCATGGTGGTTTGCAGAGAACGGTGATTGGGGGTGCAGTTTCCTCAAAGTAAGGCAGAGGCCGACCACAGCGAAAGTGGATAAGTGGATACAGGGACACAGAAGATGCATTGGCTTAGAAAGCAAACAGGACTGAAGAATTGGCTAGAGAAAAAGACACTTTCAGACATGCCGAGACGAGAGCGACATTCTGCAAAGGACATACTGATTGACTGTCCTCAATATATTACCATATTCTATGTCTGAAAAGTTTGGATAACACCTGCTGTCCAGACATATCTCTTATTTTTTCACATTTTGTGAATTCTTTCTATATAATGTTCATCAATTTCTTTAGGCATGTATTCAGTTCTAAATTACTCTTTTGACAGGTACCTATTCGGGCAATGCTGAAAGAACTGTCCTTAACAGAGCATTACTTAAATCAAAACACTGGAAAACACTTTGTGGAAGTCGTCGATATAGTCAACATTAACTTTAATAGCTGCAAACATCCTTGTAGAACAGTGCTATTCAACTGGTAGCCTGCGCCAAATGTTTTCTTGGAGGTCTAGCAAGTGGCCCGTGAATCACTGTCATTTGTATCGTGTTAATGTCATTTTGTTATGCTGGGTCTGGGACCTCTGGCTTGTCATGACCCCCATGTCATTTGTTATGCTGGGTCTGGGACCTCTGGCCTGTCATGATCCCCATGTCATTTGTTATGCTTGGGTCAGAGACCTGCGGCCTGTCATGATTCCCATGTCATTTGTGATGCTGGGTCTGGGACCTCTGGCCTGTCATGATCCCCATGACATTTGTTATGCATGGGTCTGGGACCTCTGGCCTGTCATGATCCCCATGTCATTTGTTATGCTGGGTCTGGGACCTCTGGTCTGTCATGATCCCCATGTCATTTGTTATGCTGGGTCTGGGACCTCTGGCCTGTCTTGATCCCCATGTCATTTGTTATGCTGGATCTGGGACCTCTGGCCTGTCATGATTCCCATGTAATTTGTTATGCCTGGGTCTGGGACCTCTGGCCTGTCATGATCCCCATGTCATCTGTTATGCTGGGTCTGGGACCTCTGGCCTGTCATGATCCCCATGTCATTTGTTATGCTGGGTCTGGGACCTCTGGCCTGTCATGATCCCCATGTCATTTGTTATGCCTGGGTCTGGGACCTCTGGCCTGACATGATCCCCATGTCATTTGTTATGCCTGGGTCTGGGACCTCTGGCCTGTCATGATCCCCATGTCATTTGTTATGCTGGGTCTGGGACCTCTGGCCTGTCATGATCCCCATGTCATTTGTTATGCTGGGTCTGGGACCTCTGGCCTGTCTTGATCCCCATGTCATTTGTTATGCTGGATCTGGGACCTCTGGCCTGTCATGATTCCCATGTAATTTGTTATGCCTGGGTCTGGGACCTCTGGCCTGTCATGATCCCCATGTCATTTGTTATGCTGGGTCTGGGACCTCTGGCCTGTCATGATCCCCATGTCATTTGTTATGCTGGGTCTGGGACCTCTGGCCTGTCATGATCCCCATGTCATTTGTTATGCCTGGGTCTGGGACCTCTGGCCTGACATGATCCCCATGTCATTTGTTATGCCTGGGTCTGGGACCTCTGGCCTGTCATGATCCCCATGTAATTTGTTATGCTGGGTCTGGGACCTCTGGCCTGTCATGATCCCCGTGTCATTTGTTATGCTGGGTCTGGGACCTCTGGCCTGTCATGATCCCCATGTCATTTGTTATGCTGGGTCTTGGACCTCTGGCCTGTGATGATCCCATGGGGTTCTAACATGTTGGCCTCTGAGTAAACCTGGTTGAATAGAACTGTTGTAGAACATAGGAAACAAAAAATTTTTTGTTTAGAACTCTTTCTGGACATATCGCCACTTGAGTGGCAGCAGAAACCGTCAAGTTTAGATACATCACCACTTGAGTGGCAGCAGAAACTGTCAAATTTAGATACATCACCACTTGAGTGGCTCCAGACAGACACTATAATACTGTTTTGCCTGCTAGAAAATGAACTTGTATGAACCTGCTTTTTTTAAAAACTAGGGTTAGCGAAGTGAACGAAAAGAAGTATTTCTGTTGTCCAAGTAGGTGCGAGCAAGAGGATTAATTCTGGCGCTGTTTTATAGCGCGATACTATGTTTGTGTGTTTTTATTTAGTTGTTCTGAAATCAGGTGTCACATCATTTAGATTTAGACTAGGGCACCAGAACCTATAAGGATAAGTGTTCACAAAGAAGATCCTTTTGTCTAGAATAAAATTTGTGTGTGTGAATTTTTGTTTGTTTGTTCTGAAATTTGACGTCACACAAAATAGTCATAAAATCCAAAGTATTTAGATTTAGAATAGGGCACTAGAACCTATAAGGATATGTGTGAACATAGAAGATCCCTTTGTCTAGAATAAAATTTGTGTGTGTTTGTGAGTTTTTGTTTGGTTGTTCTGAAATTTTACATGTCACACAAAATGGTCAGAAAATCCTAAGTATTTAGATTTAATTGTCTAAAAAAAAAGACTAGCTTATGCATAACTGAATGGAGAAGCATGTCAATTCTTAGAAAGGATAGCAGTGTTCAATGTTGCTGCTCAAGTGAAAAAGTAAGATGGTTACAAAATGGCATCACAATGATGTCACAAGGACAAAAAGGGGCAGTTTCTCACGGCACAAATCCTCCAGATGCTATTATTTGTATTCATTTGTAATCCCAGCTGATTTTCTTTGTAATGTTTGACATTGTTTTCTGAAATACAGCATACAAAGGTGAGACCATAGAATGGCTGGACATGGCAGAGGACGGTCAAAAGGAATTCTGGATGCAGTTTTGACAACACCTGGAGGGCTAAGAGCTAAAGCAGAAGAATCTGAATCAATTCCAGGCAATGAGCATGCAGAGAAAGTCATCAAGTCTGCCGCCATGGCTAAGGAGAACTCCAGTAACTCACCAGCACCCGAGGAAGGCGATGGAGGTGGCCAGCCAACTCTTTCATTAAACGTCATCAAGTCCATCTTAGAAGATTCCAGAACTTACAGTGAACAGAACGACGTCAAACGTGTGCTTGTATGTGCCAGGAATTTTGTTACGACAGAATCTGACGTCAAAGTGCTTGCCTCTCTGATTTATAATAAATGTCTAGAGGATGCAGCGTTAGTCAAGAGAGGTTCAGAAATTTGTGATGGTGTGACGAGCACAGAAGTTGGCAACACAAAATTTAGAAATTGTATTCTTAGCCTTGTGCAGACTGATTATAAAGAAAGGAATGAAGTGCTTGAGAAAAACCCGGCACGGTTGGAGGATTCCTCGCCTTTCTGTGTGAAATATTTGGTATCATGAGACAAATGAGATTTGTAAGCCTCTTATAAATCAAGAGCAACCAAGAGGTTTTGAAAGAGGCGGAAGCCCAAAGACTACTTATCACAGACATCAGAAGGAGACAGTCATCATTTTTCGGCCATGTTATGAGAAGAGGGAAAATAGAACATGTTGTGACCACTGGAAAGATCTGTGGAAGGAGGGATCGAGGAAGACAACGAGAGAAGATGCTTGACAGTCTTGTTGCATGGCATGGAGGTGTGTCAGCACACAAACTGATACATGCTGCAGGAGATCGCAGATTATGGAGAGGCATGATCGCCCACGCCAGTCGGCAAGGCACCTGATGATGATGATAAATCCAGTTTTTGACTGCCTGAACCTCGTACTGGGTCCTGACTGCAGCGGAGATGGAGAAGATGATAGCGATGATAAACCAATTAAAGGAAGCAGTGCCTTTGTTATAAATGAGGATGTTTGTGAAATATTTACAGTCCAGCTCCCGTGTAAAGTCAGACTTTTAGATGAGCATGCGGAAGATCAGATGAAGGAATTGATGAATTGCATTAGGACTGGCATCATAATAAGCAAGAGTTCAACAAGAGTTTGCTGTTGCTTGTTCGAGGTTGTGGAGACTTACGTCCGAGAATGGGAAATGGCAAATAATGGCACAACAAATTTTTACTGCGATGTGGTTGTAGAGATCATGTCTGGGTTTGTGTTGTGAGGGCAGGAGATAATGTCTGGGTTTGTGTTGTGAGGGCAGGAGATCATGTCTGGGTTTGTGTTGTGAGGACAAGAGATCATGTCTGGGTTTGTGTTGTGAGGGCAGGGGATCATGTCTGGGTTTGTGTTGTTAGGGCAGGAGATCATGTCTGGGTTTGTGTTGTGAAGGCATGAGATCATGTCTGGGTTTGTGTAGTGAGGGCAGGGGATCATGTCTGGGTTTGTGTTGTGAGGACAAGAGATCATGTCTGGGTTTGTGTTGTGAGGGCAGGGGATCATGTCTGGGTTTGTGTTGTGAGGGCAGGAGATCATGTCTGGGTTTGTGTTGTTAGGGCAGGAGATCATGTCTGGGCTTGTGTTGTGAGGGCAGGAGATCATGTCTGGGTTTGTGTTGTGAGGGCAAAAGGTTATGTCTGGGCTTGTGTTGTGAGGGCAGGAGATTATGTCTGGGTTTGTGTTGTTAGGGCAGGAGATCATGTCTGGGCTTGTGTTGTGAGGGCAGGAGATCATGTATGAGCTTGTGTTGTGCGGGCAGGAGATCATGTATGAGCTTGTGTTGTGAGGGCAGGAGATCATGAATGAGCTTGTGTTGTGAGGGCAGGAGATTATGTCTGGGTTTGTGTTGTGAGGGCAGCCACAACTGGTATAAGAGAGTTTCATCAGTCATCAGATTCTATCTGCAAAATGAAATCTGCTGCAATGGATCTTTATTTCTATCTCTTTTCTTCTTCTTCTTTGCTTTCACCAGCTGTAAACTTTGGCAGAAAGTTTGGATGATCATCCCCTCCTGGACTTTTGTCTTGTTACAGATCTGGCTCATTACTTTGCAGAATCGTTTCCTCGCCTCTTAGGTAGGTACACTCTGACTTTGAGGGAACACTCCTATACCTTCAGCTTTTAATACGGGTGTAAAGGGAAATGAGCGAGCAGACCAACTGGCAAGCACAGCACTAAGGATTGCGGGAAAAAGCATTGACAGAGCAGATATCATCAAAGCTGTACGGACTGGGCTAGTGGATAATGAGGAATCCCTGACACTAACACGATTGCGTGACTTGGGAGTAAAGCATGGTGAAGCATGTCTTTGCCGTCTTCGAGGCCGAGATAGGAGACAATATAACCAGCTTCCCATGGGAACAATTAGTAGAAGTACTTTGGAGTAGCTGCTGCAACAGAGGTCTGAGCACACATGGGAATGCCCAATGTGCAGTGACGTCGATTGTGATAACATGAAATAACATAACATCTTGTAGGGAGTCGGCAGTCCGAAACCCAAGTTCAAGGTGTTTCCTTCATGCCAAAGAACTGCATGGCTGTTGGGTGAACAGTCGTTAACGAAGGCTGTCAGGTGTTATGGAAACTATGCTTGCTGGTGGATGTAATGTCCTAAGCCCCTTCCCCAGCTAATAGTGAGGGTACTGCTGGGGTGACCGTTTATTACCCTCAAATAATGCTTCAGGTAAAATGGACGCCAGGCACGGCCACTTTTTGTAGCCGTGGCAAATTTTGTGTGTGTGTGTGTGTGTGGTTTTTGTTGTTGCTTTTGCCAGATGGTGGCTGTTGCATTTTTGCTCCATTTGTAGACTGGAAGGATATAGTTTCGTTGCCCAGCTTCTGAGTTGAATCCATGGCGTAAAACTGTGAGCTGCAGATTTCATTTGAAATGTGATAAACATTTAATGCATTTTCGTTGGCACAGGAGTGGAGCAACTATGGGGCGACCTGTTTGCTATGAAGCTGAAACTAAGATTACCAGATTTGTAATATAATCACACCTGTTCTATCTACACACAATTCAGTCGCAAACAGTGCCCAAGCATTTTTATAGGCCAAGCAGCACCTGCCCAAAGCCATAATGACAAGATCAACCCTAGAAACAGCAAAACCAACAGTTTCAGGGCTAAAGGCCTAACCAATCAAAAGCCCTCGACTAATCATGTCATTTAAAGTCATTAAACAGCTCTCACCTTTGGGGATCTATCTTGAAGATCCATGTGAACAGTCCACTTCTTATCATTGTTGTCTCTGGGCTTGATAATTTTTATGGAACTGATACTTTCCAAGCTGCATTGGATTTGCTAGCAGAGTAGTTTAAAAGTAATGCACCAAGTTTAATATAACTTTATTAAAATTTCTGGTAGCTGAAAAGTAATATAAGTTACAAGTTTCAAGGGTAATGTAAATGTATTATCTGTTCTTGTAGTTTAAAGTAATATTCTGATTTTAAATAATGTGGATAAGGCCATGTGACTATAGTGAACTTCCAACAACTAGACGAACATGATGTATCGGGAAAAAGAAGAAAATATGTAGCCAGGTTTCTTCAACATCAGATTTCATCCCCATCAAATAAGAATTTTAACATTAAGCATCGTGGAATAGTTTGGGGTCTAGCGTTCAATGGCTGGCACTAGTCACTGTCATTCTGTGTGGGTGTATAATGTCTTAAATATCATAAAGCCATCTTTGCTTTGGATGCCCTGTTACTCTCACCACATCTTTTTAGGTGAAGGGACTGTGTTGCTAACTGTTTTCTCTGCATTTGAACAAAACGACCAAGCCATTTGAACTTCTGCTTCTTCAAGATCTATTGCAAAGTGGTGTTCCCACAATCTGTCTGATAATATAATTCCTCACATGGTCTCTGATGGTGGAGTTGGTGGCTTTCCTTAGGTACTTCATCTCACTAATGTAAATTGTACCTATGTCAGCTTTTGATAATGTCCAAGTTTGGATCTGGCCTTCTGGCGTGTAGGAATACAGTCCTAGACCTATATTTTATAGACTAATCAGCACTCAGTGCGCAATGTGGTCAACATCACGCTGGCCCTCTTTACTTTCCTTGGTACTCATTCAAGGCTGGGTCTATCTTGGAGCTAAGGTAATTCCTTTTTAATCTGGTTCCATTCGGGCTCAAACCCACAACTTTTGTATCCATAGGCAAGTGCCTAGCTGCAACACCACAGTGACTCCCATTTGTAGGAATAAACTAGTAATATAAAAATGCCAGATTTCTTGATTATACTTAAACCTAACTTATAAAATTATTAACACACTATGTTATGTTCATATAATATGCATATAATTATAAAACATAACATTCTTTATTGATAAAGTAAAACTGCTGTGTGAAAGATGGGTGTGTGGAAGGACTGAATCTAATTTGTGATCCTTTGAAAATAAAGTTTGTTCGTTCATTTTGTACACACTGATAACAGCTAATCATGTATGGTATGTTGCTCAGGACAGAAAGAGTTAAAACTAAATCTCAAGAAGATTTCAGAGAAAATGCACACAAACAAACCCACTAATAATTAGGAAGGGCATGCACCTAACTTTTTTAAAATATTTAAAAAAATGTGTTGCATGTTCATTTGGTCCTATCCTTACTTCACCTGAATTTTTAATGTAACTATAAAATTACTTCAAAATAACTTTTAATATAACTAAAGAATTATTTTTTTATAATTTTTACTTTAACTATAAACTTACATCACCATAAGTATTTTGTTTTTAAAAACTATAAACCTACTCCAGCATAACTTTTACTATAACTCTAAACTTACGTCATCATACCATTCACAATAAATATAAACTTACTTCACTATAATTTGTACTATAAAATTACTCCAACATAACTTATATCATAACCATAAACTTACCTCACCATTATAATTACTAGTGCAAACATTAAATTTACTCCATTGTAACTTTTACTACAAATGTAAACTTACTTTACTTTATCTTAACTTTTACTATAACTTACTTCACCATAAAATAGGGCATCCTGCTTGCCACTTTCATCATAAAGGCTAATGTTGGCTGTAACATTCTCAACTACCCCAGAGTTGTTCACTTCAGTTGCTTCATATGTGTCAAAACAGTATTCTGGCACTGCTTTCATCAACAGTTTATAAAATTGCTGTTTATAAAATCCTAAATTTTCTGGTGGTTCATGTATTTTATATTTGTGTATTTTCGCTTGAATACTTTTATACACCCAGAAGTGATCAATACCTGGCACACTGATGAATCTTTTGGCCAGGGCTTTGGAAAAATGTCTGGTGTAATTCCAAAGATTTAAACGACAGGATTTGAATGTTTTATTGACTTTTTCAGCACCATTCATAGGCAGATTTGGTGGGAACAACAGAGCAATGTGCAGCAAACCAAATGCCTTTTCCGTGTTCAGTTTCTCATTTGTGCCGAGTGAGCCCTTTAAGAAGTCGTCAAGAGTCTGGAGAAACAAGTACTCGGTCATGACATTACCAGGGCCGTCACTGAACTTGTCAGCGGGCAGGCGAAATCGCACTCTAAACTTATATTTCTGATGATTTTCTGAGCTCTTCTTGAAAATGTAATTTAGAGGAAGCCATATCTTTTCTCCTGGCAGAGCCAGCAAACCAAACGTAGGCAAATATTTGTTGGGTCCGTGAGTTTCAGGTTTTGCTTCTTGTGAGCAGACGAAACTTTGGATGTGTTCTATACACATTACCAGAACTTTCTCACAAGTCAACTCTTCGGGAACTGTAGTACGCACTTGTTTTGCTGGAATACCCCCATGAAATATAATGCTAATATATTCTTCTGGTTTTAATCCCGCATATCCGGGGACAGTTGAGTTCCTGGCTCTGTTTGCCATTTTGTTTGGTTTGCAACGTATTTTTCGAAACCGAAACACTTTGACTTTCATGTACAAAGAAATGTATCAGTATCAGGAGACGCCAAACTGTATCTAAAGAGCACATAAGGTTGTAAGCATATTAAAAAACAAAAATTGGTGATGTTAAATGCCGAGAAAACTAGCGTTTAACCTCTCTGAAGTCATTAGATTTAAAATGAAAAGAACCTTGATCCAGGAACTAAATTCATTTCTTGGAAATTCATTAATATTTCTACCTCCTTAAAAAGAGATCTCACGTGAGACGAATAATAATCTCATAGAGTAGAAGAGTTTCCCATTATTCAAGCTCAGACCCAATTTTGTTTATCACTTTCTGTTGTTAGAAATCAATAAATAAAAATAGGCTTTAGTTTTGAAAATGGAAAAATAGAAAAAATGGTAATACCAAAGTAAAGAATAGTGGCTAAATGCATAACAAATGTCAAAGGCGTTTTTTTAGGACAAGTACAGAAAATTTAATATTGTCTGTCCAAAAGCACAGTGAAGATCAAAATCTGTTCTTGCATTTAAAGGAAACGAAAATAATGTCCACAGATAAAACTGGCTGTCACCCAAAAATAACAATAAATGATGAAGAAATTGAAAATGTCACAAACTTTGAATATCTAGGCTCTATAATAAACAACAGTAGAGACTGTTCGATAGAATTTAAAAGGAGGATGGCAATAGCAATTCAAAGATTGAACAGCCTTAAAAGTCCACGATTAAGCACCAGGTGATAAAAATTAGAATTTTGAGAGCATGCATCTTCCCTATGGCTACATACGGATGTGAGTCGTGGACTATCTCTCCGTCCTTAAGAAAGAGAATAGGGGCTTTTGAGCTGAAATGCTATAGAAAGATTCTCATAATATCTTGGACAAAGAAGAGGAGAAATATTGACATCTTAAAAGATCTGAACATCAAGGAAGATTGGCTAATGTACAGCATCCTTTCCCGAAAACTTAAATATTTTGGTCATATCAAGCGCAACGACGGATTGGAAAAAATTATAGCAGAAGACATGGTACCAGGAAGGAGGGGCAGGGGCAGGGGCCGACCGACACGAAGATGGGCACAGGATATAAGTGACTCCTTGAGTGTGAAAGTGCATGAGGCGGGAGAACTGGAGAAAGACCGAGTTTTTTTTTCAGGCAGACTGTGATGAGAGCGACGTTCTGCAAAGGACCTGCTACATGATGATGATGGCAGAAATTTAAGTATTTTTGTCCCAGGCTATGCTGGTGTGAGAGGTAAAGAGAGAGCAGATGCTCTCGCTGACAGTGCGACTATCAGGAATGGGTCCTCTATGGACATCATTAAAGTTATACGAGTGACTAAACGCTATGAGGCTTTCAGTTTCGTGTGAAATGATTTTTCACTCAATAGACTGCATTCTCTGGGCGTACCAGTTAGAGCGGCCAGACAGAAAAATCATGCGGGAGCCACCTGTCGTTACATCAACCAGAAGCGAGTGGGAGTTGTTAGCCTTAAAATGCCTAGAGACAAACTCAAGAGGAGATCGGAGCACTTGGAAAGCAGGTAGATGATTCGAGAATCGTCAGTACACACATGTCGTAATTGTAACTGGCTCACAGAGCGTACTGCAGTACTGCCCTTACCTCTCCCAGCAAAGACTGTGGATCTGGCCCAGGGGATCCACATTGCGAGAGAAGCTATAGCGGACCGGTGGCGACCTTAAACGCACAATCCTATTTTTGACCCAGACGGGACTCAATGTGTAACATGACTGTTGTCGAACGCAGAAGAAGAAGAAGAAGAAGAAGAAGAAGAAGAAGAAGAAGAAGAAGAAGAAGAAGAAGAAGAAGAAGAAGAAGAAGAAGAAGAAGAAGAAGCGTGTTGAGAAAGGTTGAGACTGGTATGCTCCGCGAAGATTGGCAAGCATCGCTTCAGAGGTTTCTGATAGTTAGTGTCCTTTGATTATTTTCTCCAGGTCATACCGGTGTATTAGGAAAGGAAGAGGTAGAGAGACTAGCTGGTTCTGCACATCTTGCTAGTGATGTAATGCATGATAAGCCAGATGCTGTAATAGCCCTTTGGGGGCGGGTAAACAGTTCGGAGGCACAGATGGATCCTTACAGTCTATGGAGAATGGTGCTGCGAGGAGTGATCAGGGAATCTGACCCACGATCAAAACGTACAGGGAAAATGTTATGTTATCACAATCGACGTCACTGCACATTAGGTATTTCCATACGTACTCTGTCCTCCGATGCAAAAGCCACTCCAAGGTTCTTCTACTAACTGTTCCCATGAGAGGTTGGTTATAATGTCTCCTATCTCGGCCTCGAAAGCGTCATAGACGTGTCACACAATCGTGTTAGTGTCCGAGATTCGTCATTATCTAACTAGCCTAGTCTGTACAGCGTTGACAATATCTGTTCTATCCATGCTTCTTCCCAGATGCGTTGGCGCATTGCTTGCCAACTGGTTAGCTCTGTTAGGGGCATATGTTCCAATAGAGGATAGAAGGCAGAAAAAGAAATGATTTTGAATATACAGCACACACAAAATGACACAGTTTCATATGATAGGTATGAGAGAAGGTGGGTGTTGCTAGCAATGAGATGACGACCTGAAGCGATGACATGCAGAGGTTGTCAATGGAGCTGATTCATAATGCCAAGGACTGAGATCTGCCGAGAGACATTAGATCTTATAGGTCACAAGAGAAGCATCAACGTCATAATCTTTATCTCTATTTACACGATGGATATCATCATCATGTGCTCTGTCGATAAGCGTAGGCATTCATGCTTCGCCATTTAACACAATCATCGGACTCGCAGATGAGGTTAGTGTGACTGTCTCGCTCCATCCAAATCGATCGTCAAGACTTCCAAGTATTTATCTCTTGAGCTTTCCCCTTGATCTTTGTCCATCAATCTTGCCAGTTGTCCCCTATTTCTCGAGTCTATTTCTTCTCCCAACATGCCCCCCTCCGCCCCGCCCCCCCCCCCAAAAAAACCCGGATTAAATCTAAGTTTATGGTAGAGCTGATTTGGAAATCTAATAAGAATGTCACCAGATCTAGCCGATTTATAAGTGTATGACCGTCTGTGTGGGGGTGAGGTCCTTAGAAAGAAAGAAAGAAAAAAAAAAAAAAGAATAGTAATATTGCACCATAACAGGGATACGGTAAGAGGCTGTTAAGGGCACGGTTGGACTTCGGGTGAAGTATCTCACCTCCATAAAACACTATAGCTACGACAGTAATACAAATCGCCATATATAAATAAATTTTTACAAGAAAACCTCAAACAGTACTACAGATTTATATAAAATGAACAGAAACCCCCAACTGCACATCCACGCGGTATGTGGACGCTAGGCAGGGGCATTGTGGGGCGCAAAAATTTTTTTTTTGCTTCTGCCGGACGGTGGCCGTTGCATGTTTGCTTCATTTGTAGACTAGATATAGTTTCGTCGCCCAACTTCTGAGTTGAATGCATGGCGTGACACCGTGAGCTGCGGATTTAATTTTGAATGTTTTTTTTTCGACTGTGACCAACGTGGTGGTGTGAATTGTAGATTCAGAAAATGGCGTGACGCCTGTCGTCATATACCTGTCGTCGCAATGTTGGTATTGCCCGTATGTGAATAAAATTGATTGCGTGTGAAACTGCTGCTCTGTTGGTGACTTCTGATACCATTAATGATGAACTGCATTTCTAATGTCGGACTGATTGTGTTAGCACTTCGGATGGCTACCGTATACTTTTAATGCTTGTGTATGCTAGATATGCTGAGACAGCAGTCTGTCAATCTGTCCACGAGGGACTGTGATAAACATTCTATGTATTTTTCGTTGGCACAGGAGCTGAGCAACGATGGGGTGACCCGTTTGCTATGAAGCTGAAACTAAGACTACCAGATGATGTCAAACTAACTGCAGTGTGGCCAACGCAGCTGTGGGGAGCCGTGCATCCACCGAGATACCTCTTGGATCTGTCTGCTCTTGGCAGAGCAGAATACTTGATTGTCGGGGCATTCATAAAGGTTGCCAAAAGCTGAGGACATCGAATAACTAACTACTCCATTCCACGCAACAAGACTGTCGAGAATCTTCTCTTGTTGTTTTCCTTTATCCCTCCTTCCACAGATCTTTCCAGTGGTCATAACATGTTCCATTTTTCGTCTTCTCATAACATGGCCAAAATAAATGATGACTCCTTGTGATGTCTGTGATAGGTTGTTTTCGGGCTACCCCCTCTTTCAAAACCTCTTGGTTGCTCTTTTTTGGCTGTCCAAGGCATTTTAAGCCTTCTATTGTGAAATCTAATCCCTGAGACCTCAAGAAATTGCTTGGCCTGCCTACCAATTGTCCAGGATTCACAGCCATATGTCAAAACTGGATGTATGTAGCAAGCAAGAATTCTTTTTCTGACCATCAATGACAGAGATATATTGCATAAGATGTTCTTCATTTAATAAAATGCAGTTTTTGCCTGTCCTATTCTGTTTCTTATCTTGGTGATGCATCTTCCAGCTGATGTTATCCATGTGCCCAGATACTTACATTTATGTACCTGTCCAAAAATAACACTACTGACTTTTATTACTCATTTTGGAATAATTCTTTTCTTTGATACTACCATTACTTCTGTCTTTTCATTATTCAAACAGGTCCATTCTTCCATATTCTACCACCACGATGTCTATCATTTCCTGTAGCTCTTTCTGACTTGTTGCTACCAAGACAGTGCATACCGTAAATTGTTTATATTACGCCCACCAACCACAATTCCGGGCACATAAAGTAAAGATCTCATTTTATATTCACTGTATAGTGAAAACAAATCAGGTGACAGTACATATCCGTGTCGTACGCACCTCTTTATACATTGATATGTACCTAAACAGTTGTTAATTTTTATAGCTGTTGTTTGCTGCCAATACATATTCTTTATTATTCATAAATCTTTTCTATCAACGTTTAATTTTTTTTATAGTTTGATTACTTCTTCATGTTTCACACAGTCAAATGCTTTTGTATAGTCTATAAAGCA